GTAAAATGATGTAACAGATTAATTTTGAGTAATTCAGTAAAATGATGTGACAGATTAATTTTGAGTAATTCAGTAAAATGATGTGACAGATTAATTTTGAGTAATTCAGTAAAATGATGTAACAGATTAATTTTGAGTAATTCAGTAAAATGATGTAACAGATTAATTTTGAGTAATTCAGTAAAATGATGTGACAGATTAATTTTGAGTAATTCAGTAAAATGATGTGACAGATTAATTTTGAGTAATTCAGTAAAATGATGTGACAGATTAATTTTGAGTAATTCAGTAAAATGATGTGACAGATTAATTTTGAGTAATTCAGTAAAATGATGTGACAGATTAATTTTGAGTAATTCAGTAAAATGATGTGACAAATTAATTAATCTAATCGTTATCATAATATCAACACTTGTAGTTTTTCTGATATTATATAAAATAGAGTGAAAGTAATGTTAAAAAGTATTTATTTACAATAATTATTCGATAAAAATTTTTATCGTTTATTATAAGAGTAATTCATTTATAAAAATATGAATTTATTCCTCTTATATTATATTCTTGTTTTTTCTTTTGCTTTTTTATTTCATATTAAATTAATATGTTAAAATTTCTCTAACAATAATCTATTTGTTTATATTGAGAATTAAAAGTTAAGAAAAAAAAACGATCAAATTAGCTAATAAATGATGAATTTATTACTGCAAAATATTACTATTGCTTCTAAAACTCATAATCAAATAAATTCAAAATAATTTTATGGTAATGATGAATTTTAGTTCTGTGGCTTCATTAATAATTCAAAAAATCATATTTTAATTAATTTTATTTGTTTAAATAGCAAAAAGTATTATTATTAACTATAAGATTTGAATAATTTTCGATGCATAATGTTTGGATACTAATTGTTAAAAAAAAAAAAAAATTCAATAATAATTAAATATTTGTTATTAAAATTCAAATCGATTAATGGAGCAAAATATTCATTTACACTGTGTTATCAATTTTACATTGTGAATTTCTGAATTCAATGCGAGAAATTCACTGCTATCAGACTGAAAAATAGATCTGATAAGCGATTATGTTATCATAAAATTTGTTTCTGATAATATTCAAATTTTTATTAAATGAAAAAACATTAAAAAGCTTATTGATATCTCAGGAATTTAGATATGAATGTAATTTTAAATTTTATCTTTGCTAGAATAGAAATTAAAAATACTAAGTAACAGTAATAATTAAATCATAGATGAAGAATGGATAAGAATATGAATCAGATGCGCAAAATTATTAATTATTCTATTTGTATTGGTAAGAATTTGAAAAGATAATTAATTTGAATTTCAATATTAAGTACGAAATGCAAATATGACAAAAAAAAAATAAGTAATGAATAAATTCATGAAAAACAATTTTATAATTTCATTATAAATAACTCAAAAATAAATATTATTTCGAATTTCGGAATTAAGTTTCAAAACTATTATTGGAAATGAATTTATCAATGAAATGAGAAACGTATTGATTCTGTGAAATAATTTAGCTAAGAAAATAAAAAAAAAAATGATATATTTACCAAATATAATAAAACTACAATAAATACATGCGCAATTCTTATTAATACCTTTTGTTTATAAATTTCATTTTTCATATTTCATATTTAAAAAAAAAAAAATTTAAAAAAAAAAAACAAAATTAAAAAAAAAAATGACAATGAAATATTTATCAAATAGATTTTTATCATTTTGTTAAATTAGCTTATCATTTATCATTTTGCTAACTGAATGCATCATTGTTTGTTGTAAGCAACAAAGAATCTGGTCGAAATATGGCTTTCATTGTAATTTTTATTTTTTTTTCTCGAGTTAACTGATATGAAATGTTATATAATTTACATTTCAACTATAAATTAGTGATAACACAGTGATAATTTATAATTTTTATCAGTTATATTTGATAATATTGCAATCTTATCATTTTAATCATTATATCTTATTCATATCTTTTCTTTTTTAATATAATTAAAATTTAGCATAATTTTTAAATTTTAAAAAAATTTAAAATTTAAATTTTTCTTTTTTTGAAAATTGTTACAAATCTTTTCAATTATTAAAAATAAATGTAATATTTTAGGTGTATATTTGAATTTATCATATTTTTTTTAGAAAACCAAATCAACATCATCTCGACGTAGTCGACAAGAACGCTTTTTACGCTATATTTTACGTCGTAAACAATGTTATATTGTACTTTTGTTCGAATTTCTTACTCTCATCAGTCTTATTTTAATATTACTTCTATTCTTTTGGCTTTCTCGAAATGAAATAGTTCGTTTGTTTATTTATTTATTTATTTTTTGTTTAATAAATTTGAAATTACAAATTTGTTTATTTTTTTTTGTTTAATAAATTTGAAATTACAATTAGTAACTTTTTGTTTTTAATAATGTGTAACTTGTATATCATACAAATAAAGCAATATTGATGGAAAAATCAATCAAAAATCGATTAAAATCAATTGAAAACCAATTGGGAAGTTTTAATTAGTTTTGAATTTAATTTAGTTCAGTTTAATTAGTTTTGAATTTAATTTAGTTCAGTTAATTTAGTTCACAAATTCTTATTTGTTGAATATATGGAAACTGCATTGAATTATCTAATAAAATGTATTTAAGAAGTTTTAATTAGTTTTGAATTTTATCTAGTTCAGTTTAATTAGTTTTGAATTTAATTTAGTTCAGTTAATTTAGTTCACAAATTCTTATTTGTTGAATATATGGAAACCGCATTGAATTATCTAACAAAATGTATTTAAATTATGCTTATTTTGATCTTATTACAGCTTTTTTTTTCAGCCACTAATTTATTTTGTACTTATTTTTTTCTTGTAATTAACTTAACAATGAGAAATTTGCGCCATATAGAACTTAAACACAATGAGACATTTGCGCCATATAGAACATTAACACAATGAGAAATTTGCGCCATATAGAACTTACGCACAATGAGAAATTTGCGCCATATAGAACTTAAACACAATGAGAAACTTACGCCATTTGCGCCATATAGAACTTAAGCTTTATTCATTTTATGTGTTCTTTCTTTTTTTATGAAATTTTTTTATGAAATTTATTTTTATGAAAAAATTTAATTTATTAATTTGTTAATACATTGATGCAAATGATTTTTCCTGTTAAAAGTTTCATTAGTCCCATTTGATCTTCCATATATTGTAATTTAGTAAAAATTCATCGTTGATAAAATATCAAAAGAAATTCTTATATAATAAAAAATATTTGAAATATTAAAAGTATAATATATTAATTAAAAATATTATTAACAAAATTATAGTTACTAATAATGCAACAAAATATTTTAGCTTTTCTTTTTCAAATTTTATTTCTTATTTAAATTATTTGAGTATTCATTTTAATTAATAATGTTTTTTCCGTAAAATATTCACGTATGTTACGAAAAAAAAAAAACTGAAACGTGAACTTTTATATATTATTCCATAAGCATTTTCTCTTATTAAATAAACAATTAATATTATTGATAAATTATTTTTATGCTAAAATACTTTGCTGTTCAGTTTAAAGCATAGAATTTGAAGTAAATTAATTTTATGATACTGTATGCATAATAAATTTGATATTTATAGGTAAGTAATTAATTTATAGGTAAATTTATAGATTAAAATTAGTTTACTTAGTCAAAATCAAGAAATTAGTAAGATCAGTTCTAGTTTTTATATTTATAGATTTCAAGAAAAAATAAACAAATAAATAAACTAATTTATAATAAATAAGTGAGAAAGATATTGGGAATAAGTTACAGAAGGAATGCATATACGTAAGTAAAGACGTATATACGTGAATAAAGACGCATATATACGTGAGCAGATTTATCAGATATAGGTGGAACAATAGATACTGGTAGATAGATATTACGTCTCAGTCCTCATTCATATATCACAATTCTTTAATTTAAAAAAAAAAAAAAGAAATCAAAAATTCGAATTTATAAAATTAAAATTCAAATTAACATTTAGTTTAACAATTGATAACTTTTTCAAATTTAATTAGCTTTGAAAAAAAAAATTGTTTTTTTTTAATAATTATCTAATATCTAATTAATATTTGTAATTATTTTAATTATCAGTAATTTTTCATTAAAACAAAAAAATAGTTAAAATATTTATTACATTACTATCATTCATATTTAGTCAAATATATCAACAAAATTTAATAATTCTCAATTTATCTTCTAACTCTATATTTCAATAATCTGATAATCTAATAATCTTCTATGATCTAATTTCAAATCTTTTAAATTATTTTTAATTAAAAATTATTTAATCTAATAATCTTCCACGATCTAATTTCAAATCTTTTAAATTATTTCTAATTGAAAATTATTTAATATGATAATTTTCTGTGATCTATTTAAATTATTTTGAATTATTTTAAATTGAAAATTATTTAATATGATAATTTTCTGTGATCTAATTAAAATCTTTTAAATTATTTCTATCTTCTGCGTCCTAATTAAAATCTTTTAAATTATTTCTAATTGAAAATTATTTAATATGATAATTTTCTGTGATCTAATTAAAACTTTTTAAATTATTTCTAATTAAAAATTATTTAATCTAATAATCTTCCACGATCTAATTAAAATCTTTTAAATTATTTCCAATTAAAAATTATTTAATCTAATAATCTTCTGTGATCTAATTAAAATCTTTTAAATTATTTTTAATTAAAAATTATTTAATCTAATAATCTTCCACGATCTAATTTCAAATCTTTTAAATTATTTCTATCTTCTGCGTTCTAATTAAAATCTTTTAAATTATTTCTAATTGAAAATTATTTAATATGATAATTTTCTGTGATCTAATTAAACCTTTTTAAATTATTTCCAATTAAAAATTATTTACCTAAATATTAATAATATAAATTTATTAAAGTTTTTATTTTGAAATAATTGCAGAAAGAAATGGAAATAGCAAAAATTGAAAATAATTGGAAAAGAAATGAGCAACACAAATTGAACTTTTACACATGCGATTATGAACCTATTTGGGAGAAACCAGAACAAATGAACTATGTAATTAGCATAAAAATTAATTAAATTAATTAAAAAGATCAGATTATGATTTAAAAAGTTAAAATTTAAAAAATTAGAAATTAAAAAATTGAAATTAAGATAGAATTTAATATTTAGTATTTTTATCGAATATTATAATATAAATTTAAAATTGAGACGAAATTAATTAATAATTAATATTAAATTACTTCAATTTCTGGCAATTAATACTTAATTAAATGTTAATTTTTGTATTTATAATAATTAATTATTATGCTAAAATGAATATTATAAAAAAAAAGTTTAAAATAATAATTTATTATTTTATTTTAGGATTTATGTAATAATCATTACGGTAAAGGTGCACAAATATGGACAATGCAAAAAACATTAACAAATTCAACAAGATGTGTTCATAAAATACATATGGTATAAAAGTATTTTAATAATTAAATTTAATTTTTTCTTTTTGATTAATTAATTATTGAATTTAATTTTAATTCTTTCATATACTTTTAATTTTTTTTTTTGCACCACTTCATATTTTTATTAATTAAAAGTTTGATTGTGATAAAATGTTTAATTTTAATTTGTTAATAAACTAAATAAAAGCATAAATTTGATTTTAATTAATAAATATGAATATATATATTGATTTTTTGATTAATTAAATATGTCAATTTAATTTTTAATTCTTTCATATTTTTCAAATTTTTCTTTGCTCTACTTAACATTTTTTATTAATAAAAAATTTTATTGTGATAAAATGTTTGATTTTAATTTAATAATAAACTAAATAAAAGCATAAATTTTAATCTTAATTAATAAAATAAATTTGATTTCAATTAATAAACTATATATATATATTGATAGTTTAAATTTTTTTTTCTTTGTTTTTTGTATATTTTTTATATTATTATTTTAAAAATTTTACAATAAATATTTGATAATTTTAATTAATTTTAATTAATTCCAATTAATTATTTAGTTACCGTGTCATAAATCATTATTAGAAGGTGCACCATCAAAAATTTATAATAACGAGCGCATATCACCGGCAAGTTGTGGTGGCTTATTTGGTGCACCAATGCCTTATGAATATATTACATCTGAAACAACTATTCGTGTTAGTTTATCATTTCTGATTAAAATATCCTATTATTCATTTCTGATTAAATATTCTATTATTCATTTCTGATTAAATATTCTATTATTCATTTCTGATTAAAATATTCTATTATTCATTTCTGATTAAATATTCTATTATTCATTTCCAAATAATATTTGTAAATGAAATTATTTGTTTTTTTAGGTAAATATAAATTTAAGAAAGCAGTTAAGAAGTCATTTGTTGATTGATTTAAAATTATTTTTTTATCTCAAAAAATTTTTTTAAATTTATTACTTTTTATCAGAGATTACATTTTAAAAAGAAAGAAAAAATTAATAATAATAATAAAATTGTTTAAGTTATAGAAAAAGAAAAAGTCAATTTATGAGTTTATATTTGATTACAATCATTTTTCTTCATTTCCTTTTAATTAAATTAAGTAATTAAGTTAAGCGTATATGGTTTAATTATTTTAATTCAATGCAAAATTAATTTCATCTAATTTTTTAAAAACTAGCAGTTTAGCCTTAAAAAAAAAAGGAGAAAAAATTTGATTTAAATTTAAAAAATTAATTTTTAAGGCACCTCAAGTAACAAATGAAATGCTTGCAAGGTATTACATAAATCAAACTATCCTCTCAACTGCTTTACATGTCAAATGTCCACGATGTCTTGTTAAGAGCAGTTGGTATACGTAAGTTTTACGTCATAAACGTAAGCGTAAACGTGAACATAAACATATATTTGTCGTGGTTATACCATTAGCAAATGTGAAAAATAAAGAAATTTATAACTTTTTTTATAACTTATTATCAAATATTTTAATTTATATTAAATTAATAAAGCATAACTAATTAATCTCAACAATTTTATCATTGAAATTGAAATTGGAAATTAAAATAAATTAAGTATATAATAAATTAAGTAAATTAAGTATATAATTAAAAAATTAAAATAAATTAAGTATATAATTAATTGATTACACAATTTAGTGTAATTATACTATATTTTATTACAGATCAACGATACCATTGCATTGTCGTCGACAATTAACTACGATAGAATTAGGTTGGCCTTACATTGCTAAATATTGCGATTTGGAAGAAGAAAAAGAGATGAATCTTGAAAAAATGATTTACTGCTAAATTATTTATTTAATATAATATTTTATGTAATAGAAATATTAATTAAATTACATAATTGAATTGTAATATAATATTTAAAAGAAGCAAAAGTGATGAATGAATCTTTGAAAAAATGATTTACTGCTAAATTATTTATTTAATATAATATTTTATGCAAAAGAAATATTAATTAAATTACATAATTGAATTGTAATATAATATCTAATTTTATGCTTACATTCTTTGAATTAAATACTTTTCATGCATGCAATAATATTTCCTTACAATTGCATTCATTAATAATTTCAAATTTAAGAAAATTTTGAGTTTAGTAAAATTTAAAAATTACAATAAAAATTAGTTTTTGTCATTGAATTAATCATTTCATTATATTATGCTTAGCATAATTTATTCGCATTATTCGCATATATTTTGTTAATTACTATTAATTATTATTATATTATTAATTATGTTAGTTATTATTATTAATTATTATTATATTATTAATTATTGATTATTATTATTGTTATCATTATCACTATTACTACTATCAATTGATGATTCAATAGGAAATTGCATGAAGTATTGGATAAGATGTTGGTAAATTTGCCCATCACTTAAACCTAATACGGAATGTAAAAAGAAATCCGGCAGAGACAAAGCATCACATATTGTAATAACATCAGGAAGAATCATTGCTTCTAATTTACGAAAACGTTTTTTTATCGTATTACCCCATTGTCCATTATTACAGTAACCACCTGAAAATTTAATTTATTATCATTTGAATAATTTTCCTAAAAATTTCAAATTAATTAATATGGAATGTAAAAATATGCTCCTTTACTTTCTACCTTGTTTACTTTTTATATGGTTTATTTTCTTATCGTGTTTACTTTTTATATATTTTATTTTCTTATCTTGTTTACTTTTTATATAATTTATTTTTTACCTTGTTTACTTTTAATATAGTTTATTTTCTTATCTTGTTTACTTTTTATATAGTTTATTTTCTTATCTTGTTTACTTTTTACATGGTTTATTTTTCATCTTGTTTACTTTTTACATAATTTACTTTTTACTTTGTTTATTTTTTGCGTGGTTTACTTTTTACTTGATTTACTTTTTATATAGTTTATTTTCTTATCTTGTTTACTTTTTATATAGTTTATTTTCTTATCTTGTTTACTTTTTATATAGTTTATTTTCTTATCTTGTCTACTTTTTATATAGTTTATTTTCTTATCCTGTTTACTTTTTATATAGTTTATTTTTTATCTTGTTTACTTTTTATATTGTTTACTATTTGCTAATCAATAATTATTAACTCTTTGATAACTAACCAATGTAAAACGTTGCGATATGCTTATCAATGGAGCTATAAGCGTATAGAAGAGCACAACGATGTAAAACTTCTCGGATAGATTCCGGAGCTTTTTGTAAAGAATTCCGGAAATCATTCAGTATGGTTAGTTCACAATAAGCATATGTGATCATTTTGTATTGTTCACTCTGTGCTAATCGCTTATCAATGCCTTGGTTAATTTTATCACTGATATCATCTTTAACCTTTGATATGAGAAAGTGTAACAGCCAAACATAGGCATTTGCAATATCTGTAAATTATAAAGAAAAGATAATATATTGATAACATTTTATCTTATCATTAAATGCCAGACACAGTATTAACAGTTATATCATAATGATAAGTTGCTGTTAAACTTTTTAATAAAGTAATTAAAAGTAATAAAATAATTAATGAACAAAGAATTAAAATAAATTGGGAAAAAAGACTCTAAATAGAAATCGAAATATTTCAAATCATATCATTTATTTATAAAATTCAGAAGCTGATACTTTTAATAATTCGTTAAGTAATTGTCACCAAATAATTTTGTCACCTTAAGAAATTTTGAAAGAACTTTATTTTTTCAAATTTTCTTTTTTTTTTTTTTTTAAAGAAAATGAAAAATAGTAAAAAAAAACCTTCTAAGGCATCATCATTCCAGGTTGAGAATTTTTCCGGCTTCATTGCTAAAAATATCAAACTTCGAAGAGGCGAATCATTCCAATCATAAGACTTTTCGTCATACAATGAAATTAATGCATAAGTTACTTGTTGCATTAAAATATTATTGTCACCTTCAAAAGTTCGTGCTGGATCAAAAGCATCGCGAAGATCGTTCAATCTTGAACTTTTCAAAAATCTTAAAAATAAATTAAAATTAAATCTTTCATTGATTGATTAATAATTGAAGGTATTCTTTTAAAATTCAAAATAATGAAATAATACTTTGCTTTGTATTAAAATATGGAATATTTTTAGAAATTTTAAAATTACTTAATGACTATAAATTAAAGTATAATATTAACTAAATCTTATAGTAACTCTTTGATTAAATTTTAAGATTAATTTTTTTAAGTCAAAAAAAATGCATCTAACTGATAAAAATTATCCAATCAAATTATAATATCTAATAATTTAACTAATTTTTTTTTTTTTTTTTTTAAATTAAAATTTTAAAAATAAAATAAAATATTAGCAAACCCATATGCACCACAAGCAAGACGAGCATCATCTAAAGCATTAACACCTTCTTCTGTTGATAATACTTTTGCTGCACAACTAAGAATATGTATTTCTCGTGATAACATCAACTATAAAATTTCAATTATTAAATTTTTCCTTTTTTAATTTCTCTATTTTAGAATATATTTTACAAAAACGCTAAATCATTCTTATATTTTCAATTTTTTTTTTTTTTTTTAATAACTATATGAATAGATTATTATAAAATAAAGCCTAACAATAATGATAGGAATAATAATTAAAATAATCAAATAACATTTATTGCTATATTATCTTTGTTATAAATAAAATGATTAGTGAAAGAAAATTTTTTATAAAAGTTGAAAAAAAACAAGAAAATTTAAATTTGAAAAAATTTTTTATTTAATGAAAATTATAAAATAAATAGTAATTTAAAAAAACAAACAAACAAATAAACAAACAAACAAACATCATATGGAAGTTTTTCATTTTTTGTACAATAAATAAAATGCTTATAAGAAATTGAAATAAATTTGCGATAAAAAATTGTCAAAGCTATTGTTGTCGCAATATGTGGAAAAATTCGGCGCTGTTGCATCGGATATTCAATAATTGATTGTTCTTCTATAAGATCATAAAATATCAATCAGATAGTATGGCACTAGTAATAATGAAAAAAAAAATAATAATATACAAGAAGAGATAAATTATCTATTTTAAATTTTTAAATTTAAATAAATTAAGAATGAAAGATAAAATATCAATCTAGTTTAGTATAATTGATATATAATTATCTTTAAATTTTAATTTTTAAATTTAAGCAAAAAATTTAAAATTATCTGTATCAAAATATCAATGTATGAACTAGTATAATAAATGATATGATAAATTAATTAAATTTTGAATTTTTAAATTTAAATAAGCAAATTAAGCAAAAAATTTAAAATTATTTAAAAAATGAAATCGATAAAATATCAATCAGATAGTACGATACTAGTAATAATGGAAAAAAAATGATATATAAGAAGAGACAAATTATCTATTAAATTTTGAATTTTTAAATTTAAATGGCAGATTAAGTAAAAAATTTAAAATTATCTGAATCAAAATATTTAATAAAATATCGTTGAAAAAATGATATACAAGAAGAGATAAATTATCTATTGAATTTTGAATTTTTAAATTTAAATAAGCAAATTAAGCAAAAATTAAAATCGATAAAATATCAATCAAATAGTATGATACTAGTAATAATGGAAAAAAAGTGATATACAAGAAAAGACAAATTATCTATTAAATTTTGAATTTTTAAATTTAAATGGCAAATTAAGTAAAAAATTTAAAATTATCTGTATCAAAATATTTGAAATAGTATATAAATGATATGTAATTAGTTAAATTTCTACAATCAAATGGTAAAAAATATGCGTTAAAATTTAGTAAAATATTCAATGAATGAAATTTTTATGAAGTATTATTTAAATAAATTATTATTAAAGTTTTTTTTATTTCAATTTTAATTTTTTAAATTTTCAAATGCTATAACAGAGTAAATTTGTTATTGTTGCTAATAACCTGTTTGATTAGCCATACGAAATTGTTTTCGAATAGCTGAATAACGTGTATTATCAAAAGTTTTTTTTTTTTACTTCAATTTTAATTTTTTAAATTTTCAAATGCTAATTTTTTTAATTTTAATTTTTTAAATTTTCAAATGCTATAAAGGAGTAAATTTGTTGTTGTTGTTGTTGTTGCTAATAACCTGTTTGATTAGCCATACGAAATTGTTTTCGAATAGCTGAATAACGTGTTGCTATAATTACAGCAAGTCGATTTGCCATTATACCTTTTCCGACGACATTTGCGCGTCCAATAGATAGAATTGATAGATTTGCTAATTGTTGCTCTTTGATAGTCTATTGACAAACAAAAAAAAAAAGAAGAAGAAGAAAGATGAAAAAAAAATTTTTTTCCTTACAAAAAATTGATAATAAATAAATATTATATTTAAATATAAAAATGAAATTTTTTTTTTTTGTAATTGAAAAATAAACAAATTTATTTACCTTAAAAATTGATTGATAAATTCCATTAGGATGAACGGTTGCAAATCGATTTAATAATGCATTCAAATGAAAACGATGTTTGTTAAATTTAATCCAACCATTATCAATACTATTCCAATCACCAATCTTTTCACCCATATCACCTATTGTGATACCTTTTAAAGGTTTCATCGTTTTAGAATGACGAATTTGCATGCAAAATGCATGCAAACCATAGCATGCATGATTGATGTAAAGTTGCGCAAAAATAATTGCATGCGTTGCATTCATAGCTATAAAATTAAAAAATAAAAATTTAATTTAAAAAATTTAAAAATTTTTAAAATGAAAGATTTAATTAAAATGAATGGTTTAATTAAAAGATTCAAAAATTAATGGAAAAAAAGATTAATTGAAAAATTTAATTTGGAACAAAAAAATAAATAAAAATGAAAAATTAGAAAATTGAAAAAAGAAGAGGAAAAAAAAATTATCAAAAATAATGATTATTACTGATAATCTTATTATCACTAATGCAATGATTATTTATATTACCAAGAGATTATTGATCAGGAAATAAGCAATAAAAGTAAGTAATGAATATTATCTTATTGCTATAAAGTATGATAAGTGATAAATGATAACTGATAATAATATATAATTAATTGGTAGTGGAAATTTTCTTTTTTGTTATTCGTATTCTTTCACAAATAATAATAATAATAATAATAATAATAATAATAATAATAATAATAATAATAATAATAATAATAATAATAATAATAATAATAATAATAATAATAATAATAATAATAATGACAGAAGATGAACCTAAATTTCCGGCCCAGCATTTCATTGCTTCATCATCCGGTGTGTGCATTACGAATTGACCTTTGTCATAATGACATTCAGTACGGATTGAATTTACATCTGAGCCATGCGACAATTCCGTTAAACAAAAACAACCAACAATCTTTAATTTATTGCTTTCATAAATATCAATAATGTTAATTTCAGTTTTATTTCATTATAAATTGTTTTAATTTTTTTATTTCAGTTACAAATTTAAAATCAAAATAATAAATAGCATAGATTAATGTATAAATATATTTGTCATTTACAATAATTTTATGAATGATAACGTATTTAAATGAATTTGAACCAAAAAAAAAAAAATTTGTTTTGTAAACAAAATATGATGAATTGAAAGAGATGTAAAAACCTCATTATTCATGCATTTCTCGAGAATTTGTTGATGACGATTTGTTCCCATTGATAAAACTGTGATATAAAAGATTGCATTGATATAAAATTTTGTTGCTAAACTTTGATCATAGCTTTCGAGCACTTCCGTAAAATCCACAAATCTTTCAGAATTTGTTTTAAGCTAAAATATCATTTTAATACAATGAATAGAAGAAAATGAGAAATTAAAAATAAAATATTTTATATTATTAGGGAAAATAATTTAACATACATAAGAATGTTTCAAAATGTTTTAATATATTAAAAAGTAATATGAGAAAAATAGATTAATCCACAAACCCCATCAAATTTGATAAAATTATAATTTAAAAGTTGTTTCCATCGTTGATTACATATTTGGCGACTTTCATTCATTGTTAATATACGCCAATCACGAACAAAAACATTATCATTACGAAGTATTTCAAACATTTTATTCTAAATTATGCCCAAAAATAAAATATTAGTGAATTTGAATTTGAATATTTTATAAAAGTTAAAATTTAATATCAAATCAGTATACACACAGAAATTTGCAAAGGAAACTTCAATTTAAATTTGCTACAATTAAGTAATTTTAATTAAAATAATACGCATTTTCGATTATGTTCTTTTTTTTTTCAAATTGCATAAAGAGTGAAATTTAGGAGAGAAATTAAATTCCTACTTGAATAGAATAATCATTGATCACTAAATAAAATCAACTGATAATGATCTAACTGATAAGGTTTTTGTAATTTGGAACTAATTAATTACCTTAAACTGAATACTCTCTGAACCATACAGCCATTCCTGTAGATCACAGGAAGAGAATTTCGCCATTTGTTGATATTTCAATAAATTGCCATTTATTTCAAGAGAAGCAGTTAACTGATATGATGGCATCATGAAAATCATCGCCAATTTATTTGGAAATTTCTGAGAGATGGATTTGCTAAAATTTTAAAATCTAAAATTATTGTTCAACATTAGAATTAATCGTTTAAATCCCATTTCATTTGTTTTATCTTAATTAATTGTTGGAAAATACGGCTATCAATTCTGAGAGAAAATAAAATCCCTTAAAGAAATACACAGAATTGATCAATCATAAAATTACATCACAAGTTCTGGCCAAAGCTCAACAAATCACTGATATGTAATATTGCCACAAGCAATTGAGAGATAATTGTCTCTCTTCCTCCATCTTAAATTAGACTCAATTTGTAGCACATCTCCAATGAGATATTCCATTCAACAGAGTGAAATGTCACCTAAAAATGACATTACAATCAGTCCTCTAAAACATTTGTCCAATTCGGCCTTTTTCTTGCAATATATTTCTAATAGTTTCAGATTGCTTTATTCTGATTAATTCAATTGTACAGGAAATATAATTAAGTAATGCAAACAAAAGAAGACAACAATTAATCGATTAAGAATTATAGGTAATATAATATGAAATAATGAAAGATAATTTCCATTTCTCAACGCATCAAGTTGTATTTAGAACAGCAAGTGAAAACAGCACAAAGAATGAAGTATTTAATTACTTTGTAGCATCATAAATATAAGTCTAAACAATTCCAATTTAAGTAATTCAATCCGCTCGAAACATGTTACCATTTGGTCACAAATTACAAAAAATCAACACATTGTAGTGTCCATACATGCATACAATTATCGCTCTATTTAACTTGCATTTATTAAAAATGACCTGAATTTAAGTATTCTAATTTAGAAATCGTAAAAAATGACCTGAATTTAAGTATTCTAATTTAGAAATCGTAAAAATGACCTGAATTTAAGTATTCTAATTTAGAAATCGTAAAAAATGACCTGAATTTAAGTATTCTAATTTAGAAATCGTAAAAAATGACCTGAATTTAAGTATTCTAATTTAGAAATCGTAAAAAATGACCTGAATTTAAGTATTCTAATTTAGAAATCGTATCTCGAAATTGTAAAAAAAAAAAAAAAGAAATTGAAATTGAGAAATGTACTGTTCCTTTGATGCTATTTTGATGGATAAATGAAGAATCTTGAGAATATTAAAATATTTTTGATAATTTTTTACAATCAATCACTAAGCATTATAAATTAATTATTGAATTATTGAATTTGTATTATTATAAAATTGAATTATTATAAATTAATTATTGAATAAATCATTGATTAATTAAATATTGAGAGACGACAATTTTCAATGCGAGTTCTGTGGTATTATTGGATTTTAAGGTTTGATAGCCATTGATCCGCTGATAGTCGATAAAGAAGGAAGGATTGATGATTGTTGGTTAAGCGTTGGTACGTTTCGTACTCAAGGTGATACGGACGTTGTCACGTCATACACGTGACTTTCAAAAATGACTTATCAAATAATAAGTCATCCATAGCATTTCAGTTTATTTAGGCTGAAATGCAAAACAATCATCTTCCTCAGCAGTCTCATTCATTTGGCGCAAATGCCAGTACATCATCGATTCCAGTCACGTCATCAATGTTACATCCATCAAAAGAAGATCTCGCATTAATGGATCGACAAAAGGTTATTTTTATTTATTTACATATAATAAAATTATATTGTTGCATTCGATGTAGAATAGATTAAGTTGCACTATGGAACAGAGTTTATAAATAAATTAATTTGATGCTATTTGATTTTAGGTGACACCTGAATTGATGAGATATACGGAAAAATTTGAATTTCCATACATCACTGATGTTACTAACTATGAAAAGTTGGCAAAAATTGGTCAAGGGACATTCGGGTAACTTTTTTTCGAGCAAAACAGTCAAGTTCATGAAAATTTGACGATTGTACTTATTACTTGAAGGGAAGTATTCAAAGCGCGTTGTAAACGTACGGGTCGAATCGTTGCTCTGAAGAAGATTTTAATGGAGAATGAGAAGGAAGGGGTATGTTTTTTTTTTCAGTTTATTTGCTTGCTAACCATTTTTGTATCGTTATAATGTAAGTTAGAACTTTGAATTTTTTTAGAGGAGATGTTAGTGATTTCTTGTACTGTTGCAGTTTCCAATAACAGCCTTACGAGAAGTGAAAATGTTGCAGAAACTAAAGCATAAACATATTACTGAATTGATAGAGATATGCAGTAGCAGAGGTATATTGTTCATAAATTTTCACTTGAAGGTTTTTATCATATTGTCACTTAAAATTTCAGCAATTTTATGTTTTATGTTTTCACTTCAGCATCAGTACATAATCGAGAGCGTAGTACCTTTTATTTGGTATTTTCCTTCTGTGAGCATGATCTTGCTGGTCTTTTGTCAAATACCAGTGTTCGTCTTTCTTTGGTACATATCAAAACATTGATGAAACATTTGTTAGAGGGTCTTTATCAGATACATTTTGCAAAAATATTGCATCGTGATATGAAGGTATGTTATATTTCTCTACACATCGTACGCAACTTTATCTATTCGACTGCTCAAGTTAAACATATCTGCGTCAACAACACTTCATATTTTTACGAGACAGAAGCTGGCAAGGACATTCTGTGAATTTAAATTAGTGAATATTGACTTCGGTTGAAATTTTATCCATGTTTTAGGCTGCAAATGTTTTAATTACAAAAGATGGCATATTGAAGTTAGCGGACTTTGGTCTGGCGCGTCCTCTCTTTTCAAAATTACCTGGTATTTCATATTGTGTTGTTGCGGTTGATCATCGCTATCACAATGAGCAATTAGTTATACAACAGCACATTTTGATTGCTGTGTAACTTTTTGATAGTGTTAAAGCCTCTGCAATCATGGTTACTTGGTAAGAGTTGTTGAATATAGCTTTCTATTTTGTTTTCAGGTCAACCAGAGCACTGTTATACGAATCGTGTTGTGACTTTGTGGTACCGTCCTCCTGAATTGCTTCTTGGTGAGCGTCATTATGGTCCACAAATCGATATGTGGGGTGCGGGTTGTATAATGGCTGAATTATGGACACGTACCCCTATTCTGCAAGTATGTTATCCGAATTACAGCGTTTTGGAGCAGTCACTTGAAGTCATATCGTAATTCCTAAAACCAAATGTTGAACTGTGTCTTTATTCATTAGTTTTTGGATCCAAATTTATCTGCAATATATAACTTTGAAGTAGTTCTGAAACTGGAGAATGAATTTCAGGGTGAAAGTGAACAAAAGCAGTTGTCGTTGATATCCAATCTTTGTGGAAGTATCAACCCTCAAACCTGGAGAGGTGTCGAAAACTTACCGCTTTATAGCAAAATGGAGCTTCAACAGAATCTAAATCGTCGTGTGGTTGAACGCTTGGAAGCCTATGTTAGAGTAGGTCTTAAATTTTTATATAAAATGCGGCATATCTCATATTTGAACATTATAAATAATGAAACCCGTGAGTTAGCCATTTTTTTCTTTTCAAGGATCGAAATGCCTTGAACTTGATCGATAGTCTCCTGGTTCTGGATCCATCCCTGCGTCTTGACGCTGAACAGGCTCTCGATCATTTGTTTTTCTTCACACAGCCTCATCCGGCAGCTGATGTTAAAGACTTAATGAGCACAATCTCGGTTTGTTATTTTATCGGTTTATTTTATACCATTCTTCGATCAATAAAACTTCGAATTTTTGATTTCGAACTTATTCTTATACTGACTATTTCAATTCTTTTGAATTTTTTTTTTTTCAGACAAGTTTGTTTGAATATACAGCTGGAAGAGGCGCTCATAGTGGAAGAGGTCGTGGTGTACATCATCAAAATCGTCAGAACATTCGTCCGTCAATGGCATCACAGGGACAGTACGTTGATATGGTGTTCTGAGTAAATTTAGGTATTTGGTATTTTTGACTTGTTATTAGTTTCTCAATTTGAATTTTTCGAGGTAGGATTTCTAGATTAGTGTACTCAAATTCAGATCAATTTTAATAAAGTTACTGTTTAAGTTGTAAATTCCCTGTGTATGTTTCGTTTACAATCTATACACCATTTTCTACCCTATCCATGGGTAATATTTATAAGTAGATGCATTGTAAGAACCGAAAGCATGTTAACAGTGACCCAATTTCACGGTGAAAGAATGAAATGGAACAATTTTTATATGTAATTGTCACTGTGATGGAAATTAAATAGAGCGGTAATTGTATGCATGTATGGACACTACAATGTGTTGATTTTTTGTAATTTGTGACCAAATGGTAACATGTTTCGAGCGGATTGAATTACTTAAATTGGAATTGTTTAGACTTATATTTATGATGCTACAAAGTAATTAAATACTTCATTCTTTGTGCTCTTTTCACTTGCTGTTCTAAATACAACTTGATGTGTTGAGAAATGGAAATTATCTTTCATTATTTCATATTATATTGCCTATAATTCTTAATCGATTAATTGTTGTCTTCTTTTGTTTGCATTACTTAATTATATTTCCTGTACAATTGAATTAATCAGAATAAAGCAATCTGAAACTATTAGAAATATATTGCAAGAAAAAGGCCGAATTGGACAAATGTTTTAGAGGACTGATTGTAATGTCATTTTTAGGTGACATTTCACTCTGTTGAATGGAATATCTCATTGGAGATGTGCTACAAATTGAGTCTAATTTAAGATGGAGGAAGAGAGACAATTATCTCTCAATTGCTTGTGGCAATATTACATATCAGTGATTTGTTGAGCTTTGGCCAGAACTTGTGATGTAATTTTATGATTGGTCAATTCTGTGTATTTCTTTAAGGGATTTTATTTTCTCTCAGAATTGATAGCCGTATTTTCCAGCAATTAATTAAGATAAAACAAATGAAATGGGATTTAAACGATTAATTCTAATGTTGAACAATAATTTTAGATTTTAAAATTTTAGCAAATCCATCGCTCAGAAATTTCCAAATAAATTGGCGATGATTTTCATGATGCCATCATATCAGTTAAATGCTTCTCTTGAAATAAATGGCAATTTATTGAAATATCAACAAATGGCGAAATTCTCTTGCTGTGATCTACAGGAATGGCTGTATGGTTCAGAGAGTATTCAGTTTAAGGTAATTAATAGAGAATTCCCTAAGTGAAAAATTGGTACATATTCAACCATTATTACAAGACCTAACAAAATAAAAAAATCATTAAAATATTTAGAAATCAAACATAATTTGAGTTCAAATATATAGCAACTATTCAAATATAAATTTAGTCATAACATTCAGTAATCCATTTTACAACTTCATTGGCGACCAATTCTCCGTGATTTAACACGAAAGCATGCTCGCATTTTTTGTCGTCAATTATAACTAGATCTAAAAATTATACAAAAATTTGAATGATTTATAAAATTTTGGATGATTTTGGTTATTTGAAATTTCGGCGATAATCAAGACTAACTGGAAGCATGAAATATTTATATCTTAATCAGTTTTTCAGGCTGAGAAAATTTTTCCAGCATTATGCGCACTAATACTATCATTTTTTTTTTTAAATGTAAATAATGAAACTTCAAATAGTTAATTATAAAAATACCATTTCCAAGCCTTTTTTGCATTTCTAAAGCATAACGCAACGGACACCATTGATCCACAGTTCCATACAAGAAACGACAACGATTACTGTGGTACAGAAGGGATTCATCCAAGTTTGAAACCTAAATTGAATACATTTTTCATTTGAAATTAAAGTTAAAATTGAAGTTTAAAGTTGAAGTTAAAATTTAAGCTATAAACATGTGTTAATTTCAAATATGAATCAGAAAATAAATAAATAAATAAATAAACCGTAATTAATTCATCCACTGCCATAAAAATAATATTTCGAATAACGTTTACATCGATAATCTCAATGGCACTTTGTAGTATGCAAGGTGGAAAATACCTACAACCATTTCCCATAAGAAAAGTACAGATGCGCTCTTTTACAGAATTAGGCAAATATCGCAGACAGGAGAGCATCATCTGTACAGTACCATCCCAATTACGGCATTTCTATAACATATTCGAATTGTTGCATTTTTTTTTTTTTAAATATTTTGAGTGAAATCAATAAAAATTATCACTACGAATGATAAATTCATTTTCAACAAAGCAACGATTGAAAAAAAAATTTTTTTAAAAAAATAAAAAATAAAATTAATAATGAAATTTCTTCCTATCCTTCGAATAATAAATTCAGATATTAATTTTATACGAATTAACACCTTTAGCCATGGTAAAAGACGTTCACCATTTGGTGATTCTGCCATATGTTCAATGGTAGGAAATAAAGCTATACAACGAATAACATTGAACTTATGCTTCAGCAAATCAGGTAATATCCTGAAATTTGTAACTTTTCCAGTTTCTAATGATGACAGTATTAAATTCTAGACCAATGTTAATAAAAATTTTTTTAATAGATTATCTAATAATTGATAGAATCCACCAAAATTGCATAGTATTCCATAAATTATTTGAGTGTTTCACGAAGAACTACCATAAAGTTCATGAAATCATATGAAATGTATTTTGAATTTGATCAAAAATAAGTGCAAAAGATAAAATGCCAACCTTAACATTAGATAAGAACCAATAGAATGTCCAATGAGAATGAATTTTGCTGTTTTAGGTAAATATTGAATGCAAAAATTGAATTTATATTCAATTTGATCAACTAATGAGACACGATCTAAAGAAAGAATGAAGACAAAATGAATAAAAAAAAAAAAAAGATGAATTACTATTTACAAACTTATCACTTTGTTAAATAAACGTTTCATAGTAAAATTTGATTTCTAAAAATTTTTCTAGCAATTATAAATCCTAACAATAATTATTACACTTAATGATCTTTAAACAGAGTAAATGCTTTATTATTACTCTATTATTACTCTAATACGTTGTTGTACTACTGGAAATATATCTAATGTTATTAAAAGTTCAAATTGTAATTAATTATCATGAAAAAAAATAATAAAAAAACAGTACCAGCGTAGCTGTAAATGCTTAATTCCGAGTACTTTTCAGGTAAAGGAACATGATTCAGGTGAGATATTGTACAAAACAGAGAATTTTCCTTCGATATTTGCATAATTCTTGAGATTTTGCTCAAAATGGTTTGCCCAAAATGAGCATAGAATTGTTCATTTCCAGGGTTACCTGCATAATGATTAGTTAAAGATATATATAGAAACGCAACATAAGTTATTCTACACATAGAATATATTTAAATATAAAAAAAAAAATTATGGCATGTAATATTACTAGGAAATATTAGAAAAGAATATCTCGCAATAAAGAAAAAAGTAATATAAATTCTCTGTTTAACTCTAATTATACATCAAATATTTTTACTTATGGATTATACAAATTGGTCAATTCAAATTGAACCAGTATTACTTACTTACATGGATTTAAATAAAAAAAAAAAAGGATTGCAAATTCTTCACAAGTAATTAATATTATTAATTAATCCATTAACCAACGAAAAAATAAACAAACCTGGGATCATCAATATAATCAAACCAGTAAAACCGGATAATAACGTTGTCGGATCATCCGTTAATCTATTACCCATAAATGAAACACGAGTAAATCTTCCTAAAACTGGTAGCCAAGTGACCATTCTCTTAATCTCCTCCATTTAGGCTTGCAAATTGAGTTGAAAACTAAATTTATGCTTTTATAAATTTTTGTGATTAATTAACAGAGAAAAAAAAAAAAGAAAGTTAGATCTTCTATCAAACAATATCAAAATAATTAGAATCGAAATTTGAATCTTTTTAACATAATAAAAGAGTATTTCTTCTTCATACAACATAGAAATATATTTTTGATTACTTTCATCACTGCAAATGTTTGATTTTCTGACACAGTTTGATTCTCTTGAAAATATTTATAAAATATTTCAATTAATACCCACAATTATCTTAACCAAATGTAGATGTAGTGTAAAAGTAATGATAAAAATTGACAAATGCTATAGAATAAGGGAAGAACAGTTCGTAGTGTCCAAAAGAAAGAAACTCTCAAAAACGGAAAAATGCAAAAGGAATGACGAAAAATGGGACAATCTCAATGCACAATTAACGAATTTTACCAATATATGCTTTCATGGGGAAAGATTTAGCTTTTCCCGAAAACAACCGGAATGTTCGATCTGTTCAAGTAAATAATCTATCTCTGAAATCCCGAATAATTAAAGCTATTCATTCACGTAATTGTTCCGCTAGATTTCACTATAACTTTTAGATTTAATCATAATTTACGATAAGCGTATTCTTATGTCAAAGAACAGAGAAATAGAACAGTTTTATTGATTCAAAAGAAAAAAAAAAAAAAAAGAAAGAAAAATTGGTGAAATGGAAACAGTTTTAAAATAAAACATTGCGCAAACAGAAAACAGAATTTAAAAAATGCCATACTAGATGCATGGCTTTGTAACAAATGGGCATAAACTGTTTCCATATCTTATTAAACTTCATAGCTTTAACATGTACCTATGCAGAAAATCTTTAGACTTGTTCAATTTTTTAGGTTATTCAGCTATTCAAAGCTCTATCGTTACACTTTTGACATTTATCAAGTATTTGAGGTTAAAAATTTCAGCAACAACAACAACCAGTACAATGAAAATCAACAATAAGATTTCCTGATTTTCGGAAAGAAATCGGAAAATCTATTATTAGTACTACTTTAAATGTTAAGTGAGCATTGAGCCTCAATAACCTAATTATCTCGAAAAAAAAGGTAAGTGTTGAAAGAGTAATATCACTGGTTTTTTACTCCCAGTTTTTTGAGAATAGTAGGAAAAAGGTATCAAGCAAAACAAATATTAGTTTTTAATCTGCTCACAATGACCATTTTGGCACTTCTGCAAGGAATATAGCACCAGCATCATTGGAAAGACGATGTATCAAGCATGGAAGCAAGACTTTGCACAATATTGTCAGCAAGCATTTCGTTCACTGTTTCACCTAAATGCCTCTTCGGATCCTGTTTGCCCACATTTTTAACAGCAAGCTGTTCTTCTGTCATTTTTTCCTGTTCTTCGAGATCCTGAAACGAGAAGATTCATGTTGGATTAAATAAGCAAAGAAAAATTGGAAAGTGAAAATAATGATAAAAACAAACTTTTCTGTAAAGCTTCGCCAATTTTAACATTTTTTGCATGGATGCTTGATTTTTTTCGCAGTGATCAGAGAAATGTTCCAAGCCGAGTGAATCCATCCAAGTTTGTTTATTTAGATTCAATAACATCTAAAAGAAAAACAATTTACTGAGAGCTTATACTTGATGCCGCAACATACAATTTCATAAATATGCTGTACAAAAAAGGCACTTGTGCTTAACAACAATGAACTCCATCAAATTATAAATAATATACTTTTTGCTCAAGTTCATGGGTTCGGTAATTGATTGGTATTGAATAGTAGTGCCGATTGAGACCATGAATTAATGCTTGAATAGACGGTTTTTGCAAATGTCCAAGATTTGACGTGGTTTGACGCGGTTCTTGATTAAGTGCTATAGATTGTGGGTTAATCGTTCGAAATGCATCAATTACTACCTGAATATCACTGATATTAGTACAATTGACAGTTCAAATGGTTATCAAAGAATGCGAATACAATTCTCAAAATGAATTAATCATATATGTGTAAACTGAACAAACCTTTCCTTTTACAGACTGAATTGGATCGACTACCACAGCAACTGCTCTGTCTGAAAGAGCTTCAAAGCTTTGTTGCGTATTAATATCAACACCTGATAACCAACAGCCGAATCCTGGATGTGAATGGTACCATCCAACGACCATTTCTGGTCGTCCTGTTTGTTTCAGCATGTCTAACATTTTAGCTTGAAAAACTGGATCCACTGCTTCTACTGACACTCCCTATAATTATTGACAATAATCATATGCTAATACAAAGCAAAAAAAAAAAAAGAAAAAGAAAAAGGGAAAATTAAGCGCTCGATTGATTCTGACTCATGGGAAAACCTCCATTATTACGAAAATAAGACTTAAATAAGTTACCGTGCCAGACTGTGGCATTGCAAACACATCGATAACGTTTACTGTATATTCATCCACAAATTCTCCTAGCATTAAACCCATAACCTGAAAATTTTCATTGTTACTAATAATGCTCCATATCCTTTGATTATTGGTTTACTCAAAAAATGGAAAAATGTACAATGATTACCTCCATAGGTACACCTGCACGACCATGTTTCAACATTTTGAGTAAAGCCAATGATGATATATAGACTGTTTCAGATGTATCTACTTGATTACTGTCCACCGGACTGGCACTTCCAAACTAAAAACCATATTATTAAATATAACGGCTCATAACTTGGGAAGAATACTAGCTTACTATTGCGAGAATGATTTAATCATCTTTTCTCAATATTACGAAAATGCCAGTTCCTCTTGCATTTTCCCTTCTTCTGCCACTTTTATCAAATACTTTTTTTCCTTTTTTCTTTCAAAATGTTTTCATCAAATTAATTAGCAAGTCAGTTTACGTACGAAAATCTCAATCTGATCTAATTGACAATTTACTCTCCACATATGGCATACATATAAAGAAATTGAAAATTTCAGTTAGATTAAACCTATCGATTGATATAATTGATTTCATTATTAAATCTATAAAATGCAACTAAAAGTAGTAACCTGTGAACCGCTGAGACCACCAAGACCACCGAGTCGTAAAAACCGTTCCATTACAGTTGCTCGTTTCTATTAATAATAATAAAGATATTTTACTACACATAATATACATAAATTATCACACACATACACACGTAACATGAAATCATCAAGGTAATAAAAATGAAAGGTAAATGAACATCAATTTCATGCTTGATGCGAAAAGCTGTTATAATTATTTATATATGTCATCTTTTAAACATGTATTTTAATTTCAATAATAAAAATTACTATTAAATATTTAACTATAAAAGGTAAAAAAGATTGAAAAAGAAAGAGAATAAATGCAAAGACTAAAGAATAACATGGAAGAGGGTGGAAAGAGGAAAAGAAAGAGAAATAAAGAGGGAGAGAGAGGGACAGAGAGGGAGAGAGAGACTAACCCTTCCCTCTTAGACAATATTTGACTTTGCACATTCCTCTTTTTATGGAAGAAAGCGCATTTGGTTATTTCACTGTGATAAACTACAACGATCGAACCATTGTGAAAACCACGTGGATCAACCTTGTTTGTATTACGTGATTATACGTAGGGATTCTTTCAAAGTTACGTTATAATAAAGGTTATAATATAATATTGATTTACAAATTATACTTTAACTTTTTCAAAAATTTTTTTTTCTATAAATTAGTTTTATAGGATGAAATAAGAAGTAATAAATGTAATATGTAATTATTAATGTCTAACGTAAATACGTGAATTAAACGAAATACGTAAAGATAATCACGTATTTTGTTATTAATTAATACTGGTAATTGATAATTAGTAAAAAAAAATGAGAGAATGCTTTTACTTATTTATTGTTTATTGATTTTACTTACTTATTATTATTACCTACAGCAATATTGATTCATAAATTACACTTTAACTTTTCCAAAAAAAGAAACTTTTTTTTTTTTGTTTTATTCTTCTGTATGCATTTCAATCATTTATCTTATCATTTGATGATGAATTTAATTGTTAACTTTAAACAAAAAGAAGAGAAAACTTTCAAGAAATTGTGATGTGAGCAAACTTGTAGAAAATAGTTTAAAAAAAAAAAAAATTCTAATATTGCATTTCATATTACTGATAAGATAATAGTGATAAGAATTATAAATTTAATCAAACTAATAAACTTAATTCCTATTTATATCGTAAATATTGTATGTTTACAAATTTTTTAACTAATTGTTGTATTTGTCAAATTTTTATGAAAAATTTTTTCACCATTTTATAAATTAACATAAATTAATAATTATGCTTGATATTATTATCAATAATCATCTATGTACTTATATATTAGTTTTATTAAATAATATATAAATTATGAACTAATTATATTTATATATTAAAAAAAAAAACAAAATCTAAAAATAAATTGAAAACATCTTTTCTTTACATTTTACATTTCGCTCTGTTTTTGTTTTTTTTTTCGCTTTTTTTTTTTTGTAAACAACATTTACTGAAAATTACACCTCAACAAAACTGTCTGTCATCATCAAATCATCAAAAAGTAAAATAGTCCATCCATTGTTAATAATAATCTTTTAAAATTCTTGTTTTGATATATTATAATAGTCTCTCTCTCTCTCTCTCTCTCTCTCTCTCTCTTTCTTCATTCTCGCATTACATTTTCTCTTTCTAATTTTTCATCAATTCTTTGCTGTCTCTTCACTAATATATCATTATTTTTTAATTCTTTCTGATGTATACTTACTTACTAACTAACTAACTAACTTCATTCTGTTTAGAGAATAACTTGTAAACAACATTTATTGTTATTATTACTTGTTGGAACATTTTTATCACTTGGCTTTTTTCTTTTTTTTCATGAAAATTTAAATTAGGTATGGCTATTAGAACAATTTTTATCACTTGGCTTTTTTTTCATGAAATTAGATGTGGCTAAGCGCAGTTTGTTATATTAGATATGGCCAAGCGCAGTTTTTTGTATTTGATATGGCCAAGCGTAGTTTTTCGTATTAGATATGGCCAAGCGTATGTTATATTTGATATAGCCAAGCTTAGTATGTTATATTAGATATAGCCAAGCGTAGTATTTGATATGGCCATGCGTATTTTCGATTATATGGCCAAGCGTGGTATGTTATATTGGATATAGCCAAGCGTAGTATGTTATATTGGATATAGCCAAGCTTAGTATGTTATATTAGATATAGCCAAGCGTAGTGTGTTATATTTGATATGGCCATGCGTAGTTTTTCGTATTAGATATGGCCAAGCGTGATATGTTATATTAGATATAGCCAAGCTTAGTATGTTATATTAGATATAGCCAAGCTTAGTATGTTATATTAGATATAGCCAAGCGTAGTATGTTATATTTGATATGGCCAAGCGTAGTTTTTCGTATTAGATATGGCCAAACGTGGTATGTTATATTGCATATAGCCAAGCTTAGTATGTTATATTAGATATAGTCAAGCGTCGTATGTTATATTAGATATAGCCAAGCGTAGTATGTTATATTTGATATGGCCATGCGTAGTTTTTCGTATTAGATATGGCCAAGCGTGGTATGTTATATTAGATATAGCCAAGCGTAGTATGTTATATTAGATATAGCCAAGCGTAGTATGTTATATTTGATATGGCCATGCGTAGTTTTTCGTATTAGATATGGCCAAGCGTGGTATGTTATTTTGGTTATGGCCAAGCGTAGTATGCTATATTGGATATAGCCAAAGTATGGTATAATTGTAATTTATTGTTAAAGAGAAAAATATCAGTTGTTGTTATATTATGTGATGTTATCAGAATTGAATTCGATCATATTCAGATTATCAAATTGTCTTCTCACTAAGTTAACTTTATCTCTTCTAAATTTAGCCTTCTTTCTTACTCGAATATCTTACTTAAACTTCATTTTGTATTGTTTGACTAACTTGATTATTACATCATTGTCAAAGAACCAATCAATCAATCAATCTTTTTTTTTTTCCTTTTCTTATCTCTTTCTGTTTTTGTTTTTTAACTAATTTCTCAAAACTTTGTTTTTTTTTTTTTTTTTTTTTTTGAATTAAATAAAGATACGATAAATGATTTTATAAACATTTTGCTGTTTAATTATTTGTTATTCTAATTTTTCAGATTTTTTATCGGTTGAATGATGATGAATGAAATGCATTGGAAAGCTACAACAATTCTTATATGTGCATATGGAATAGTGAAAGAATTTCGGCCAGCAACACCTTTCCTTACACCGTACCTGGTTTCATCTTTCAAAAATTTCACTGATGTTGAATTGTACAGTGAAATTTATCCATTCTGGACATATTCATATTTATTTTTTTTAGTATGTTTTCTTTTTTTTTTTTTCAACAATTTCTAAATCTTTCAAATTTGAATTGATTGAATTATTATTATTATTATTTCATCCTAAATTTAAATTCTTTTTCTTTCAGTTATTATGATTAGCATCCAACATTAATAATTCAATGTGTATAATTCAACATTCAAAAAGAAAAAAAAGAAATGCTTTAATATTTGTTATTTTACAGGTGCCAATATTTTTTTTAACTGATATTTTACGATATAAACCGATTATTGTATTAGAAGCTCTTAGCTTGTTTGGTACTTGGGCGCTACTTTTATGGGGTAAAACGGTATGGCATATGCAAATTATGCAAATCTTATTCGGTATATTATTTTTACAATTGTATTAAATATAATTGAATTAACAATTTGTTTCTTTCAATTAATTTATTGGAAAATTTCAAGACATGATGACTGGATTAATGACATTTGTTTGTCTTCTTCTTCTTAATACCCTCATCTTTATTATTTGTTCGCTCTCATAACTTTACTAAATAATTTAGCTTCATTGATAACATTGCCACGAATCAAGTCGTTTAATAAATGAAAATTTTAGCAGTATTTACAAAAAAACACAGAAATCTAGAAACATTGAAATAAAGAAGTCTAATTACTACTGTATTGCTATATCTAATTGCTACTGTATTCGTAAGTCTAATTGCTACTGTATTCGTAAATCTAATTGCTACTGTATTCGTAAGTCTAATTGCTACTGTATTCGTAAGTCTAGTTACTACTGTATTGCTATTTCTAATTGCTACTGTATTCGTAAGTCTAATTACTACTGTATTCGTAAGTCTAGTTGCTACTGTATTCGTAAGTCTAGTTGCTACTGTATTCGTAAGTCTAGTTACTACTGTATTGCTATGTCTAGTTGCTACTGTATTCGTAAGTCTAATTGCTACTGTATTCGTAAGTCTAGTTGCTACTGTATTCGTATGTCTAATTACTACTGTATTCGTAAGTCTAATTACTACTGTATCCGTAGAGCGATTGGACTGCCATTGTGACCTTATTCAATTGGTCCACCACCTGCTGAGATATAATTCTTAATTCTATCGCTGACTGTATTCAATGAATCGCTGATTTATTTGTACCATTTGTTGATGGACATATAACATAAAATTATAAATTAACCGTACCATAATAATTGATCCAAGAAAAAGAAAATCTTTCTGAATAATCATTTACTGCGTAAATAAATAAAAATAATATAAATTAATTAAATAGTGAAGTAAAAAAGAAAACTTTCAATTTGCATCATCCGATAAATATTTCTAAGCTGAAAAATTCATCTGAAGCAAAATTTTATCTTTTATTTAATGATCGTTCATCTATGCATAAATCAGATCATAAATACATTTAAAAAAAACAAGAACCAGAGAAACCTATCATTACATCATTCGACAAATGTCAATTTAATTATTCTCTTATGCATTCTCATTTCTTTTATTACTTAAAATGCCATTTCCATTATTTCCAATTATCAAAAATTAAAATTCATTCTTTTATTTATAGGTTTATCATCAGCTGCTGAAATAGCTTATTATTCGTATATGTACGCTGTAGTTAATCAAAAATATTATAAACTTATCACATCATATATACGAGCTGCTGCTTTGGTTGGCAAATTTTTTGCTTTTGGTTTTGCTCAATTTCTTATATCATTTGAATATGGTTCATATCTTCTTTTAAATCAGGTGAATAATTAATTCCTTTTAATTTACTGTTTAATTCTTTCTCTTATACATTCTCATTTTTTTTTTCATTAAAAAATTTATCTTTTCCATTTTTTAAAGTGTAAAACTTCAACATTTTGTGTATAAGTATTTCTAATTTAACATGATTTTAATTTTGCTTTAAACTTAATATTATTTTTTTTTATTGTTACTAAATCTTTTACTTAGTATCTTTTGTATTATTTCGAATACACAAAAAAAAAAGGAAAAAAAATGTGACATCAACAAATTAAAATACGAAATAGCATTCAATTATGAAAACCATAATTTATGTTACTGAATTTAGATATATCTCCTACTGCATACGACGCTTATGAGATATTAAATTTAGATGAAAAATTTGAATTATCTCTTTTATTCTTGAAATATTTTAAGATAAGTTATTGTTGCATAAAAGTATATGTGTTTTTGATTAATTAAATAATTAATTTTACAGATATCATTTGGTGCAGTTTGTATAGTTCTTGGAATTGCTGCTATTCTACCATCAATACCATCTAAGATAGCTAATAATAAAGTTGTTGAAAGTGTTGATGATACACCTAAACTTTCTCATATTCCAACAAATTATGAAGAAGGATCACGAAATGATCAACGAAATTTTGAAGAAAGGTAATAACATTAAAAAGATTTACCCATCATTTTACACATCATATTGAAGAAAGGTAATAACATTAAAAAGATTTACCCATCATTTTACACATCATATTGAAGAAAGGTAATAACATTAAAAAGATTTACCCATCATTTTACACATCATATTGAAGAAAGGTAATAACATTAAAAAGATTTACCCATCATTTTACACATCATAATTTATCTTACCTTTTTGCTACTTTACTTTACTTTTACTTACTTTTAGTCTCATAATTTTTCTTTTTATAGCTAATTTTAATAGTATTTCGAAAATTGTTTCTTCTTTTTTTTTTTTTTAGGCATTCTTTTTTTATTCATTTTATTTGAATTCTTTCAGAACAGCTTTAAGTACTAATGCACCAAATGTTGATCATGGAATAGTTGCCTATTTTCGCTCCATTTGGTATCATTTTAAAATTTTCAAACGAGATAAGATTGTCCTAAAATGGAGCATTTGGTGGGCATTAACTAGCTGTGGTGTTTTTCAGGTTATTTTCTTTTTGTTGTTTTTTGTTTGTTTGTTTGTTTGTTATTTTATTGTATTCATTGTTTTAGAAAGAGTCGAAATACTTTTTTTTTTTTGAATTTTGTTGAAATTTTAATTTAAGGTTATGAACTATGTACAAACATTATGGGCTACAATGCAAACATCTTCTGATATTTATAATGGTATTACTGAATGTGCTAATACTTTTATTGGTATACTTTAAAAAAATTTTTTTTTTTTAATCTTTTATTCATACTTTCTCTATTGGTAATTCATTAGAGTAAATTAGACTGTTTAGGCATAATAATAAGCCAGAAGGAAAATTTAAATTTTTATCAGGATAGATTAGTTTAGCCAAGTTTTTATTTTTTTTTCTAGATTTATTGAAAAATTTTAAATTTATTGAATTTTATTGATAGGAGCATTTATAAGTTTTTTGGTACAATATATGAACGTGAATTGGTCAAAACGAGGTGAACACGTACTGCTAGTAACGTCAGCGTTTATTGCTATTCTACTTATTATTATGTCTCAAATAGAAATTGTCTACGTAACTTACGTGTTATATGTTATTGTGATAACCATTTATAATTTACTGATAACGGTTGCAAGGTTAATTTTTATTACTTTATCATTATGAAGAAATTGATAATATCAATTATTAAATTTAATCTTCTTTACCTCTAGATAAATCACAAAATATTTGCTTTAATTTGTTATTTATTAAATTATGCACCATAATTTATTTTCAGGTAGATTTATTTAAACTTTCGATCATATATGTATCAAACTTATATTACACTTATCATTTTCAGTTAACAATTTGATTAATTTGATAAAATAAAAAAATATTCGAAGTCAGATTATAGTTCAGAATTTTTTAAAATGTAATTTTATAAATATGTTTAAATCACACATTTATTTATTTATTTATTTTTTTTTTGAATTTAGTGTGAATATAGCAATGCAATTAGATTCTGCAAGTTATGGATTAGTATTTGGTTGGAATACATTTTTAGCATTATTATTACAAACTATTCTTACATTTGCAGTAGCAGATAAACATGGTTTCTCGTTATCAATTCGAACTCAGGTTTTCTTTTTTATTTTTTTTTTAATTAAATTTTTAATTTCATTATTGATTAATAGCATTACAATCAACATTTCTAATATTAATTAATCAAGTCAAAAAGTTTTCTAATATGTTAATTAATCAAAAAAAAAAAAAAAACAAAAAAGTAAATTAATTTAATCAAAAATAGTTAGAATATTCTTTAGTTGTGAATAAGAAACAAAGATAGTATTTAGAAAATGAAAACTTTTGAATTCTTTTTTTTTTTGAAATGAATACAAAATAGATAAGTAATAAAGTGGAATAAATTAATTTATTTGTTATAAAAATAAGCTTTTTTTAATATTTAATTAATTTAATTATTAAATTATAACAAATATATAAAAATTTATTGCAGTTTTTTGTTTATGGTTATTATTTTGCTCTGGTTTCTATTATGTTTGCTGTAATACTTGGCTACAAATTTATGAAATATTTATTTTGTCATCATCGTTCAATATCTGAACCAATATCCACCACTACTGCTCATCATACAACTACTCTCTAATATTTATTTTATTCATTTTAAAAAGTATGTAAAATTTTTCTCTTAAATAGATTATAAGTTGAAAAATGAGAAGAAGAAGAAGAAGAAGAAGAGGAAGAGAAAAAGAAAAAATTATAAATTATTGATAGATGAAGAAATTATATTTGTAAATATTAATATGATTCTAGTTAATTACTAATTAAACATTTGTTTGTTGTAAAATTATGATATGTTGATTAGAAGAATTAATTTAAATAATAATTTTAGTCATATGATTAAGGTGTACAGGAATTATTTGATGTATAATTTTGATTAAATAAAATGGAAAATTATATTTTAGATTAAACTTCAACAAAAAAAAAAAAACAGTAGCAAGATTGCTTCTATTTCTAGTAATGTTTAATTATTAGATTTAAAATTTATATTGATAAGAAACGAAAGTGATGAATGAATATTTCTGATTGTTTTTTGTTAATTTTAATATTCTTGCATGATTAATATTTTAAAGTATTTTAAAGTAAAAATATTTTAAAGTATATCTAGAGTAAATCCTGGATACCTCATTTCTGTTATAGTTATTTAATAATGTTTAAAATTGTGATAATACTTTTTTTGTTAAATGTAGAATTTTGTATTTATCATTTATTTGCTATTCTTTAGTAAGTTTGATAATGTAAAATTGTTTACAAATGTTGCCAGTATTGTTAATAGCAATAAAAATAATATTTTATCAATTCAATTTCACATTCGCATATATATTATTCTAAATTAAGGACTTAATTTTTGATTAATCAAGATTTTTGATAATGATAATATAATAGTGATAATAATAATAATAATAATAATAATAATGTATTTTCGTTTTTTTTTTTAAAAAAATTTTTTTTACAATATTTGTTTATTTTATTGTAGAAGTAAATCATTTCTTATATTCATTTTAAACTTCTTGTGCATCTTATTATCGTAATAAATTAATATTTTAAAGGAATTAATGTCTAAAGGAAAGTTATTTAACAAATTTTTTAACAATTTTCTATTTTACAAAAATTACAAGACAAGAAAAACTATTTTGCAAAAAAGAAATATCCTTTATAGTAATCATCAGAAGAGAGAATTGCATAATTCTCAAGGAAATGATAAATTAAATCAAGAAAATGATAAATTAAATCAAGGAAATGATAAATTAAATCAAGAAAATGATAAATTAAATCAAGGAAATGATAAATTAAATCAAGGAAATGATAAATTAAATCAAGAAAATGATAAATTAAATCAAGAAAGTGATAAATTAAATCAAGAAAATGATAAATTAAATTGATTTATCTTTTACATAATAGTACAAATTGCTTTGAAATTACTGATAGATTGAACTAAAGTTAGTTTATTTTTTTTTATAAATATTACCAAATCCCAATATCATTATCACCCATTGCTCTCTTCCCGGCATTTATCACTTTTATTTCTCTTCAAATGATAAATTGATGATAAGAAATGATAACTTTTCAAAGTCTGAAATTCTCGCCAAGTTTGGAGGAACAAAAAAAGCATTTTTGAAACAATTCTTTTTTTTTTTTTGTTGAAATTTCAATATTTCAATTTCTACTAATATCAATGAGGAAATGAGTAAGTAATTAATAATTTTTAATCCAATCAAAATTTCAATTTCACCATAAAATGATAATAACAAATAAATTTACAGCGTTACTTTTAATTACTGATAACAGTTACTGATAACATCAATTCAAATTTTATTGTTTATAATATGACCTTAATGCCGAGTATATAGCATATCAGTTCGAGCATATATATCATTACTTTTAATTACTGATAACATCAACACAAAATTTTATTGTTTATAATTTGACCTTAATTCCGAGTATATGATTAAATTAATGACCTTGATAAATTCCTATCTAATCATTCGTTGAAACTATCAATGAAATTTACACTTTCTTTTCGAGTGATAAAGTGTAAATTTAATAGAATGTAAATTTAATAGAATTTTCCTCGAAATTGAATGAATATTTTTTCAATTTTTTCTAATTTTACAATTTTATGTAAAATATAAACGAATGAGAATTGATCAGTCAATTATAAACAATTACAATTATTTTTAAATTTGAAAATTTTCAAAAAAATTTTAAAAACATTTTATCCAATCATAAATATTATTATAATTTCTTTATAAATATTGTAGTATTAGATGCAATCGTCTTATTTCATTTTTTTTTTTTAAATTCTTTTTTCTTTCTAAATTGAAATTTGAAAAATTTTTTCTTCTGAAATTTCTATATAATTTTTTGAATAATATTCAATTGTAAAAAAAATTAATATAATAATGAATTCAAAATGAATTATTTTATTTATTGTACAATTTTTGATAAAATTTATTCAATAATTACAGGTAAAAATGATTGCAATAATGAAATTGTTAAAATTTAAATGGTATTATATTCTTTATTACTTTATTTTATGTCTTTTACATGATAAATATTTATTAAGTTATAATGGATTATTTGGCATAAATAAATATAAGAAAGCATTTGATACAAATACTTTTCGTCACAATTACATTTTAAAACGCGTAAGTTTCATTTTTTTTTCTCTCTCTCTCTTTTTTTTACTTTTTACTTTTAATTAATCGATTAAAAATTAATAATTAATACTTAATGTTTTACTTTTTACTTTTAATTAATCAATTGAAGAATAATAATTAATACTTAATGTTTTACTTTTTACTTTTAATTAATCAACTGAAGAATAATAATTAATACTTAATGTTTTACTTCTTACTTTTAATTAGCCATCGAAAATTAGTAATTGACATTTAATGTTTTACTTCTTACTTTTAATTAATCGATTGAAAATTAATAATTAACACTTAATGTTTTACTGCTTATTTTTAATTATTCGATTGAAAATTGATGATTAACACTTAATAATAGTTAGAATAAGAAATGATTAGGCTGAATAAAGTTGAATAAATGAATTAAATTAATTAGCAATTAAATGATAAGAGAACAAATATATTAATTTTGCTAGAATCAAAAATTTTTTCATTAGTCGAGAAGGTTAGATAAATTTGATTGAAATTTCAAATGATGTCACAGATATATTTGCTAATAATAATACATGTGACATATTTGAATTAAACATAAAAGTGTTTGCAATTAAAAATAAAAATATGAAATATAGATAGCACTTATAAACTATAAAATTATTGATAAGATTGATAAGTTAAGCAAATTGTTAAATAATTTTAAATAATTTTTATTAATATCAGAAAATTTCTTTTAATTGATTTTATTTCAGTTTTTATCAGAAATTGATGATATTCCTGCAATTTTAATGCTTAATATGGTAAGTATCATTTGTTGTATAATAAATTAGAATATTTTATAATATATTTTATAATTTAAAAATAATATTTTATAATAAATTTGCTTGTATATAATATATAATTATAATAATAATAATAATAATAATAATAATAATAATAATAATAATAATAATAACGTAATAATAATAATAATGATTGATTATTAATAAATTTGTTTAGCATTCATTAAATTTAACTTTAAATTGGTTATGCAATGTGGCCAATTTTCCAAACGTTCATCGAAGGCTTCTAATATTTGCATTTGATCGTTTAACTTATAGCACAATTCGGACAATATGGCCAGAAATTAAAGTTATCTTTTGGCCATTACCACAAATGGTAAAGTATATTTGGCAAACATTTATTATTTATTGGTTTATATTTTTAATTTACCATAATTTTTTATTGCTTTTTTTAAAAAAATATTCTTTCAAAAAAAAAAAAAAAAACAAATTTGATTGTACAGAAAAATTGAAAATTAAATGATTAATTAAGAAAAAAAAAGGTGAAATTGAGAAATTTTGAAATAAAAAAAGAAAAAAAAAGATTGTGAAAATTTATTTTACATTATCCGGTGCTATCCGGTGTTATCCGGTTTTTCTTTTTTTCGTTTTCAGCATTTACCATTTCAAAAAGGCAGTGATCGTTATCAAATGTTATATTATTTTCGTGCAAAATTATGCACATATTTGGCTAGCATTAATCGTGATTTCTGGATGATTGAAGCAGATACTTATTGGCGTAAAAATTTATTCGAAATTATAAGTATGTCAAAGTTAATCTGTTATCATAGATAATAATAAAAAGTAATTTCTATATATGATAAATGATAATAATAGATGTGACATAATTTTCTATTAATTTTATTAATCTAAATTTTAAATCAAAAATAATTTTCTATTGTTTTGATTAATTCTTAATTTTAATGAATGAAAATAAAAAAATTAAACTTTGAAATAAGATTGAATTGGTATTTATGATAGGTTTTTTTTTAATTTTACAATAATAATTAGCATAATTAATTAATAAATAATTATAACAAATAGTTAGAAAAATTAAATTGATAAAATTTTTATTCATTTTTATTTCTTCTTCATTTCAAAACAGATACACGTCAGATGTTAGATTTAAATGGAAATTTACTTTTTGATCAGGAAGGTGACAGAGGATTATTGGCTAAAATGATTGCTGGTGGTTATTTTTTTGTTAAAGCAGGCATCAAGTTAGCTTTTATTTATTTATTTATTTGTTTATTTTTTTTTTTTTTTTTTAAAAAAAAAATACAAAAATAGATTGATGTATTACTATTCAATTCATTGCTATTACTAATATATGAGTGTTTGAAATTGAATTTAAATGAAATATTTGAAATGTTAAAAGAAATAAGTTTAAATTTGAGAAATTTCTAACCAAAATAAAAACAAAAATAAAACGAATAATTTATTATCATTTAAGATCAGAATGCTTTTTTAAAGAACTTTCAAGACAATTGGAAAATTATTATGCTACAGATAATAATATTATGGGAGCATTGTGTTTTACAAAATATTGTAGTAATCAATGTGCATTCATACCTTACAGGTAAATAAATTTTTTAAATGAATAAGATAAACAATCATCTCTTAGTTGAAATTTGATTTACAAAATTATTAATTTTTAGAAATACATCTCAAAGATATATTATTTGATCGTAATTTCTATCATAATTTAACTTTTCTAAACTTATTTTTCTTACTAATTTATTTTTTATAAATTTTTATAAAATTTATAACTTTTTTTTTTTAAAATTTAAGATTAGAAAAAAACTTTTTCATGATAATATTCTAATTTTGTTTTTTCCTTTTTTTTTCAGTTTAGTTAGTAACTGGCGATGGCATTGGAGTAACAAAACATATATTCCAGCATTACTGCAATTTGATGGTGGTTCAAGTTCAAAACAAAAATTTGATAATATGAAAAATCTTGGAGCAGAATTTGTTAATATTACCAAAATTAGGCAATATTATCAAGCAAAATGCTTTATGCATAAGATACTAACACCAGAAAATGCCATACCGGAATGGTTAATCGTTTTTATTTTTTACTTTTGGTTTTTTTTTTTTCTATAGTTTAAATTTTAATATTACTCTTCAAAAAAAAAAAAATTTTTTTTTCATGAATTAAATTTTGTGATAATAGCAAGAGAATACAACTAGCCAGAATGATATCATATTTAATATACTATAATGACATAGATGATAAGAGCTAGAATGAAATATTAAACAATAATTGTAAATGAGTACTGTAAACAAGGGTACTGTAAATGGGTACTGTATTTTTTACTAGTACTGAAAAATTTTTAATTTCATTTTCATGCCATTAATTTTTATTCTGCAAAATGGCTATTCTTTTTATAAAATTTGACATGATTTCATTTTCATATTAAATCAAAATGGCTATTCTTTTTATAAAATTTGACATGCATATATAAATCGTTTGAAAAAAAAAATGATATGAATTAAATTATATTAAATTATTTATTTATTTTTTCTATTAAAAATTTGCAGGCGTTTGAAAGCAGAAGAAAATGATATCACGAAAAAACAACAATTAATCGTTTTTATTCATCAAATTTGTGAATGGTTAAATGAAAAAATACCAAAATTTGATTATATTTTACATGTGTACATATTTCCTTACTATTCTTACTATATTCTATAAAAGATTTTTTTTTAATAAATAAATAAAAAATTAAGCTCTTAAAAATTTTAATGATATATAATATTCACCATTAAATTATTTAATGCATTAATTAACAATTCCGGAGAAAGAGAAGATATTTTTAAAGATTAAAGTTTTTTCTCTGATTCAATTTGATCTTAAACCTCTGATCTTGTACTGATGAATTAGCCGAAAGATATGAATGAAATGCTTTTTATTTTATAAATAAATTTCATTTTTTCTTTGATTGAAAATATTGAAATTAATTTTCAGTATTATAATTTAAAAAGATTATCTAATCAACAACTGGAATAAATGCAAGAGGATCGTATCACATTCAAATCTTCATTCATAACTTTGAAATTTTATTTTTATTATGCTAAAAAAGAAAAATGACATGCAATTTATAAATTATAAATGATAAAAAGATATTTTCTCTTCCTAAATAAACCATTAAATTAACATTTTCTCTCTTTAACAATTTGTTAATAAAATGATATGAAGTGATTTAATTTATGAAATGATCCGTTTTCGAGATCGTTACTAATTTATCAAATCATCCATATTCGAGATCGTAGCCAACTTGTGCTTCATGCTCTTTGGTTTCCTATAATAAAATTATATTTAGTTTGTGCTTAACAATTGCTTTTTTTATAAATGAAGAAACTGGACACTTATAATTTTGTAATCCTTGATTAAATTATGGATATAATAATTTCATTGAGTTTGTTTTAAAAATTCAGAATGAAATACATTAATGTAACTAATTGCATCTTTCAGCTTTTAACAGATTTTAAACTTTATCTCTGCAAAAAAAAAGAAAAAAATTTGCATAATTTATCAGTTATCAGATAAGAATATAAATGAAATTTACTGTTATAGCATTCATTTGTTAATATTATTTCAAGTTGAGTGGTTACCTTAAGTAATAATTAACTAAAAGGTAAATTATTAAAATGGAATGGTAAAAACCGTAATCCAAAAGGAGTTGTCATCAAATTCATTCCATTGCAATTTATAATTTGTGAAAATTGTTTTCAAAATAAAAAATCACATAAGCAAATTAGATGATAATTGATAAGAAAAAAGTATGTTTCCAGAAATAAATGATGAATATTTATTTTTTTAAAAAAAAGGTGAATTGATTGTTAATGGAAGGATCTTAAAATTGATAAAATTAGTTCTTAGAATTTATTATTCCATAACAATTTTTTTTTCTGGAATTAATTTATAAAATTATTTAGCTTACTGTAGGTTAATTAGAAACCTGATTAACTATTAACAACTGATGAATCCACCGGAACAGCACCGCGATATTCAGCCTTCCGGTCATCGGTCATGTTTCTATGATGGCGATTTCATGTCATTTAATGAAACAGTCAGACGAATGTTTGAAAGCTTATTTCATGGCTTAGAGCAACATTACCGCCAACTTGGAATAGGCTGGAGCGGTTCACCGACAAATGCGACATCATATCAATGCAATCTTGACGGTTCACTTAGACAGGTTTGCATTCTTAGAATTTAAATCAGATTAATAAGAAATTGTTTACTTTTTTAATTTTAGAATTGTTTCAATTCTTTTTGCAATTTTCAAATTTCCATTTAGCGCTCGAAATTAAAAGACAAAGTTTTTCAAATGAAGAAATTTCAGCATTGTGTATTTTCTTGTTTTTATTAATAACTTTTACATTAAATTATCACAAGTAAGATTAAAATTTGATGAATAAATAGAAATGAATTAATATTTACAAAAAATTTCAAATATTCCTTTCATCTTAGATTGCAAACGATGCGGAAAATTATGTTATGGAAATGGATGTGTCACAATTTCATCCGAGCGAATTAAAAGTTAATCTACGTCATGGTGAACTTTCAATTGAAGGACATCAAAAGCAGCAACGTGATCAGCATGGTTTCATTGAACGACACTTCGTTCGTCAATTCACGCTGCCTGGTGATGTCGATAAAACCACTTTAACTTCTCACTTGAAAGGTTATTTTTGAAATTTGATAGAAATTTAAATCTATTGAATTTCAATCCAAAATCACTAAAACTTATTAAAGAACGAAATAGTTATTTGGTTGAAATGTTTGTTTATAAAAGTAAAGCAAAAAGGAAAAACGATTACTTTTGATATGGTAAGCAGATATATTAGTCAGACTTACGGTAGGCAGACATACGGTAATCAGGCATACGGTAATCAAGCATGTAAATAGTAATCAGGTACATCAATCATACATACTGTAAGCAGGTATATGACACGGTAACCAAATACATTAATCAAAATACGGTAATCGGGTATTTAACATGGTAGCCAGATGCATTAATCAAGAATACGGTAATCTGGTATTTAGTACGGTAGTCAGATAATTAATCAAGCATACGGTACATAATATGGTAATGAGATAATGGTTTTTTGTTTTTGTTTGATAAGAATTGCATACACTTACTGTGACATAACTAAAGACTGTCACATTCAATCAAAAATAATTAGCTGCAAAAATCATTAAAGATTATAAATTTTCAGAAAATGGTATTCTAGAAATAAAAGCTCGGAAGAAGAATGTTCCACCAGTAACTCCGACACGAAATATTCCAATTCAAATGAATACTGTCGATCAACAACACTCCAAAAATGCAAAACGTACGAATGCAAGCTCAAGTCGAACAGGAACTACTGATCACTGACTGAACACAATACATTCTTAACATAATATTTTATCACTGCTAGTCTAAAATATTAAATAAACTGATCAATAACATTTTATCATTGCTATTTTGATATCAATGCTACTTTGGAAATATTAAATAAACTGATCAGTAACATTTTATCATTGTTATTCCAAAATATCGAATAAATAGATCAATAATATCCTATCAATGCTATTCTGAAAATATTAAACAAACAGATCAATAACATTTTATCACTGCTATTTTCATATCAATGCTATTTTGGAAATATTAAATAAAGTTATCAGTAACATTTTATCATTGTTATTCCAATATATCGAATAAATAGATCAATAACATTTTATCGATGCTATTCTGGAAATATCAAATAAACTGATCAACATTAACAATTTTCTTCCTAGTAGAAAAAACTTTCCTGCAAAGTTCATACTTTTGAAACAAAAATTGGCTAATATAACAGAAAAATCAACTTGCTTACTCATAGAAAATGTTTTATATTCTCAAATAGATTTTTTATATTCTCAAATAGATTTTTTTCAATTCTAAAACATTGATTTTTTTACATAAACGATGATAACAATGTTATAATGGAATTAAAATTTTAAAATTTTTATAATGGACTAATTTGGACTAAAATTCATCTTTTTAATTAATTTAAAGTCAATTTACAGTTTTATACATCAAAATTGTTGCTATAGCATGTTAAAAAGTTAACAATAATTTCAAAAAAGTGATATAGTGATAAGAAGTTTAGTGATAAGAAGGCAATAAATAATCAGTCTGGAATGCAAACAGTTCCATTATAATGATATCCGCTACAACATCCTCGTCTATCCAATTTCAACCAATCATTTCCACTTTTCCAGCCCAAATAAACAGTAAACGTTGACATTGAACATAAATGATAAAAATATCTTAAAAAAAAAAAATTCATTCATTTCAACCTTAAAAAATAAAATTTATATTACATTAATTCATTTCAGGAAAAAAAACGAAACTAAAGTTAAAAACAAAAATTAAAAGTAAACTAAAGTAAATTCAACATCAAATAGCATGTAAACATTTGATAAAAATTTTTAATTTCAAATATAACAATAAGTGGTAAAAATATTTACCTTGGTTTCATTCTTTTTCCCAAATGAATTAATATTTTCATTGTTAAAATTTTAAATTTTTAAAAAATTTTAAATTTAAAAATAATGAATTTTGCTCTGATCATTTATTCGTCTCATCCTTTTCTTTGACAAATAATATAAAATAATTACAAATGTACTTTTCGCAAAGTCGTTCACCAGAAAATGCTGATCTAACATATTGTTTATATTTGTATTGATCCACGTTTAACTTGTCATCAGGTAGCATATAAGCATCTGTTAATTTTAAAATTTTAAATTTAAAACATATTTATGCAAAGAAAGAAAATAAAAATTTATTTAATTTGCAGTTTTTCATTTTTAGCAAAATTTTTGTCGCACTGAAAAGATTGCTATTGTATGCAAAATTTCAAATAATTTACCTGCAAACTTTTATTTAGATTTTTTGTATTATATCAATTTAAGAATTCAAAAAATTATAAAATGAAAAATAAGACAAAATCTGTGTCAAAAAAAATAATAAATCTTAATTTTTGAGTTTTTATATATTTTTTTAAAAAACAAATGTCTATGATATATTCTTTTTTTTTCATTTGAAATGAACTAACTAATTTCAAATATAGTATTTTATTTGAAAGTATTAATATTTAAATTTTTATGCATTTTATTTTATTTTTTAATTTTTCACCTTTATCTGTAGCAAATTGTAAATTCTTGTACAGACTACATGGTACAACTAATCGTCCAACACAATTAAAATTTTGCCAAATTGGACATCGCTTTTCGCCACATTTTTTCATATCTTCTTTTGGTCCTCTAAAATTCATATCTTATTGATTGATCGATTGATTGATTGATTGATTGGACTGATTGATATTAATCATTTTAAATGTTTAACCATCCAATTCTCAATTATTACATAAAAATGTTTCTATTACTTCAAAAATAATCCATTATTAATATTATGCAAAAAAAAATTTTTTTTTTAAATTAGTTAATATTTTTAAACTTATAATAATCTATTGTTAAAAATTTTCTTGTGTTAAAAATTTTGTTAAAAATTTTCTTAATTTTTTTTTTAAATAAAACTCATAAAATCATTTAAGTACTGATATAATTAATGATAATTGCTGAACTTTTAGATGTAAATAAAATTCAAAATAATTTTTGAATTCTAAATTTTGTTTTGTAAAAAAAAAATGAAAAAAAAAATGGAAACCTTACGGACAATACTGATTTTTGCCATAACATGCACGAATACGACGTTGTTTACCACAACCGCCACAAGTTACCGAACATGCGCTCCATTTGCCCCAATTGCTCCAAGCTGATGTTGCTAAATAATTTAATTCATTTTATTATAATTTATTAATTTTCTGAAAATTAAATTTTTCCTACTCTTTTATATTTTATGAAAAAAAAAAAAATTTCTTTTAATAGTTCAATAATAATAATAATAATAATAATAATAATAATAATAATAATATAACAAAAGCAATTCATAATTTACCTATAATTATGCATTATTTTAGAAAACACTTCAGAAATTTCATTTTTTGCCCAAAAAAATAGTGAAAAAATTAGTTTTTATAAAATTTAAAATTTTTTAAAATGAAATATACCTGTTGTTATAGATGTAGTAGGAGTAGTAGTAGTAGCAGTAGTGGATCTTGTTCTTGTTGTTATTGTTGTTGTTGTTGTTGTTGTCATAATCTATTTATTTTTGTTTTTATTTATTTTTAATTTACAGAAATTATTATTCTATGCAATTTGTATGATAAAATAAAAAGCTAAAAATCATGCTAATAAATATGATAATGCTATTTGTAGAAACTTTCTTTGAAAACAGTTATGTCCTTTCTGTAAATTAACATCAAAAAATATTTTTTCTATTTTCCCTGCACCAATTAAAATTTAATTCTTCAAATTTTTTCAAAAAAAAAAAGAGATCAAATATTCTAGAAATAATATATGTTTAAAGTTGTAGACTTACTAATTTCTTATTTGGCAGAAATTTTGATGCTGAACCGTCCAAATCATCTGAATTATTCATCATTTCTGATTTAATTAATTATTTATTTTACAACAAGATAATTTTCTTTTTTCTTTAGCAAAAAGATAATCATATCATTTCTTTTTTCTTTAGCTTTCTTTCCTTCACTTTCTATATCTTATAAATAATATGCGTGACTCATTACGTGATCTACGTTATATGCAGATGTAGACAGCATCAACGTGATGGCATATCGTTTCACGTGTATGTGAACCGGGCGTTTCTCATTTCCTATATTTATTTGTTTGTTTTTTCTTGAAAACTTAGTATTAATTAGTGATTACGTCTATTTGATTTTTTAATAAGTGCTTTCTTGGATTTCTACGTACAAATCACATTTATGTTGAACGATGGTATACGCTTTACTTCTATTTACTTACTTTTTTTACGTCATTCACGTATTAGTATTAGAGCTAATTTTTTTTTTTTTTTGGTGACTTTTATTTTTTATTTCTCTTCCATTAAAAATTTAAAACTTACATAGCTTGTAACGCAATTTGAATCCCCATATACCGGAACCATCGGTGAGAACATTTGCTGTATAAATAATAATGAAAGTATTACTTTCACTTGCTATCCATGCATTTGGTGATTCACAACAATGCCTTGAACCTTAATTAATTGCTTACTGTTTTGTTTATACCCTTAATTGTTTACAATGTATCTTTGAAAAGATTTTTTCTTTAAAACAAGAATGAAAACTCTAAACATTATAATTTTAAGTCAATTTTTCGAAAAAAAAAAGTTTCAAAACTCTTTTCTTTGTAATGATTAAACGAAATTCTAAGTGTAATTGTGAAATGAATTGAGATGAGATAAGGAAAAATTAGAAATTTTCTCCTCAATATATAATATTTACAATATTAGCTGAGTAAAACTAACCAGTTGAAATCATATCTGTTTTAAATTTCAGTTCTAAATAACTAGTACATGTTGCTTTGCAAGGTAATTGTAATTCATCAACGTATACGAGCACTTGCGCATTGGACTGCAATTTATGATGAAGTGTTGTGGCGGTAAATGTTCAAAAAAAAATTGAAAATGAACTGACAAAAAGCATTTAATAAAAGGAATAGTTAATGTTGATGATGATAATAGATGGATTGAAATGATTTAATGAGTTATGATACTATAGAAATCAAACAAAAATGATAGAATGGTATATTTGAAATTGCTTACAAAATCTTTCAGAAATTGTTCTCTGAATAAGGTTACAAAAAAGAAAGTTTGATTAAAATGTTGTTATTAAATCAGAATAAAAAAAGACTTAAATTTAAGGAATATAATTAATTTTTGAAATGTTTCACTAGCATTTATTTCATTGCTTAGAGAATAATGATAATACTGATAACGATTAAAATTAAATGATATTGCGCAAAACAAATTAAAATGAAATAAGAATGAAGCTTAATAATGATTACAAAGTATAACTGAATGCTTAACAATTTTTCGCTTACGGTAGCAGTGCTACAGTAATTACGCTATTACCGTAGCAGACTAATGTTACAGTAATCATTATTATTAAACTACAGTATGCATTTTTTGACAATTTTTTTTCATTCAAACTATCGAAAAAAAACATTAAATCATATTATAAGAGTATATAATGAATAATAATGAGTTTTTTTTTTCACCAAATATTTTTGTGATAGCTTATTAACTCATTAAGTGCATATATTTATTAAAATAATTTATTTTGATAAAAAAAAAAATAAAATTTATTATTTAAATCCATCTTGCAGTTTTCTTCAAAACTTACCCTAATCCTCCAGACGCAATGAACATTACCATTTTGGGCAGTAATTGTAATGTTTTGATAATCATAACCAGCCAACAAATCACCACCACATTTAGGTGTTTCTAAAAATTTTAATTAATTTTTTAAAGTTACAATACAATAAACCTCTTTGTTTTTAATTTTATCTTTTAGTAAGATAAAAAAATGCGAGAAAAAAGAACCATAATTAAAAATTAAAATTCTACAAACGTTAATTTCTTTTTTCACCTGGCAATTTTTGGAACTTGTTTGAAAAAATTAAAATATATTATGTTGAAATAATTTTCTATTAAATGCATAAGATAGTTTTATCTCTAAAATTATCTTACTTTTATATCTCAAATGAGTGAAATTATTTATTCAACAAACATTTTCCAATTATAGCTATGCCTATGTAAAATATTTTGTTATAATATGTTGTAAATTGCTTTCAATCTTACTGTTAACATCTTTTAGAGTAATAAACAACTTTAAATTCAATGGTAAGAATTTGTTGTAAGCTCGTTGTTCAATTAGCTTTCATAAAAGTTAATTATAATTAAAATATCGAAATATTTTATTTAGATCATCCATTTTGATAGTTATTACCACAGGTAATCGACATAATGCCATAAAAGCATTTTTTGCGTCAATCAAAAGTAAAATTAATTCTTTTTTAATTTTTTTTTCAAATCACTGTAATTATGCACTTTGTTTGTAGGCCAACGTCTATTATGTAAAAAATTAAAGTTATTGTTTGCGGTTAGTTTTTTTCGATATAGCAAAATTCGATTTTCGGATTCAGTCAGTCACTCAATTCATTTTCAACAAACGATGACATAGCAGCAGCAATGACAATAATGGAAGGAGAGAATGACAATTAGAAAGCAAAAAGTGCGACAATTGCGCTTAGTGGAAAATTTAATATTTACTTTGTTCATTTCTTTCATATAATTGCATAAGCGTTATACTGGATGATATTGCTGGTACAGTAATAACATATAATAAAAGAAATTTCCTGATATGCCTAATTTTAGGTAATTTAGCCAGTCAGATAGAAATTTATCAGAAATGAAAATTCTAAAAATAAATTATGTATATATACTCGATGCTAAGTTTCTTTCTATGAGCCTTCAAATTGCGCCATTTAAGTGATTTCTAAAAATTTTAATACATCACTATGATCTACTAGCCATTTTTGCTAGCTGTAAACAATCGATCAATTTCTAATTGAATTTATCAATAGATCATATCGACTGAACAATCTCGACGACTTTCATTTGAAATATATTTTGGTATTGCTAATGATTTAAATTAAAATGATATAAATCAAAAATAATGAAAATTGAAAATTAAAAAACTTACTACTTTTTTCCACTGATAAACAATTTCGTCCACCTAATCCAGTCGGACATTTGCACTCATAACAATTATTTGGATTTGTATATCCACCATTATAACAGTTCATTCGATATCTACAAGTATCTGAAATAAATCATAGAAAAATTTTTTTTGATTTTAAATTCGATTTCTCATTTCTGTAAAATATTCTCGATTTTTTTTCTTTGTTTTAGAAAAATAATTCTCGTAAAACCTAAATTATTTGGTTCTTTTTTCTTTTTGTTTTGAAATATTTCAAAAATTTATGCACCGATTAGCTAATTCTTTTGCTTAGCATTATTATGAAGTTGTTGATTTAATTAAAACTTGAAATGTTAATTCTTAATTTGATTCAAAATTTTCAGAAATTTTATCACTTTTGGATGAAATAGGAAAACGGAAACTAAAACGCATAAATTATAAATATTAGTGCAATAAATTTTAATTGATAATTAATAAACATAAATATTAGTGCAATAAATTTTAATTGATAATTAATAAACATAAATATTTGTGCAATAAATTTTAATTGATAATTAATAAACATAAATATAATTGATAATTAATAAACATAAATATAATTGATAATTAATAAACATAACTATAATTGATAATTAATAAACATAATTTTAATTGATAATTAATAAACATAAATATAATTGATAATTAATAAACATAATTTTAATTGATAATTAATAAACATAAATATAATTAATAATTAATAAACATAAATATAATTGATAATTAATAAACATAAATATTAGTCCAATAAATTTTAATTGAATTTATTCTGTGAAAATTTACCATTGCAATAGCGTAAATTAATCATTTTTGCATCCTTGAATGAAAGTGCTTGTCGTTGTCCGATCGTTTGCTGATACCGACGATCGCGTGTCTCAATCGTATACCTTTAAATAATTTACTTAATAATGTTTACTTAACAATTCAATAAAAATTTATATTACCTTATGTAAAATTTAATTCAATTAAAAATCTTATATTATCTTATATAATATTTAATTCAATACAAATATTACCTTCTATAAAATTTAATTCAATACAAATATTACCTTCTGTATAATTTAATTCAATAAAAATTTCATATTATCTTATATAAAATTTAATTCAATTAAAAATTTTATATTACCTTCTATAAAATTTAATTCAATACAAATTTTATATTATCTTATGTAGTATAATTTTATGTTCCATAAATTTTTTCACCAACAAAATAAAAAAGTATATATTTATAAAGATAATCAATTAATTAGTTTTAAACGATATGATTTCTTAGAGAAAAAAAAAAATTATATAGAGAAATCATCGTTTTATAAGCAATTTATAATCACTATATCATAATGTATCAACATTTTAATAAAATTATCACAAATATACGATATTTTAATAACATTTATATATACTTACGATAATGTTATTTTATTTTAATAATATAATAATTTTATTAAACTTTTATAATACAATAATTTAAACCTATCAAAACTAATTGTAAATGCTTTAGAACCATAATGCATCAATGAACCATAATCATATGATAATCCCATATTATCAGTATTTAGTGTTGTTCGTTTTTCAAAATTTCCTTGAGTACCCTAAAATTAATCATAATTAAATGGATGAATAAGTGAATAAAAAAAAAAAAAAAATTTAAGTAATCATTAAATAAATTTCACAAAATTTTGTAAAAGATTTCTTTTTTCTTTTTGGAACAAAAGATTTAAAAATAATGAATTTATTAAATATATCAAAGTTCGGATTAAATTTTAATTTAATTATCAATAATTTATTACTGGATAAATATTCATATGATTAATCCAAATATTACTATCACGATCGCTACGTGATTGCTCATGCCATAAGCCAAGTGCATGTAATACTTCATGTGCAACTATACCCATCTAAAATTAATTTAAATTAATTAAATTAAATTAATTTAAATTAATTCGACTAAATTCAATTTAAATTAAAGAAATACTTTTCATTGTTACAACAGTAATTTTTTTTTTTTTTGCATATGTACAATATTTATAAATGTTAAAATGTCAAAAAAAAAAAATAAAAATTATCATTATTTAAATATATGTCAAATTTAATTCAAAAGTAATAATTAAAATTGAAAAAAGGCATAATTTCTATTTAAATTATAATTAATTATAGAAATGGAAAAATTTTTTAAATTCAAAAAAAAAAAAAAAACATTACTGATTCACATCCAAGTCCAATGGATATTATTTGTCGACCACCAATTTTACCAACATTACTCCAACAACCTCGTCCTCGTGTGAAATAAATATAATTCTTATTGCTACCATTCTCCTATAAAATACTTTTTAAAATATTAAATTAATTTTGTATGAGAATGAATTACTATTTAAAATATTAAATTAATTTTGTATGAGAATGAATTACTATTTAAAATATTAAATTAATTTTGTATGGGTATGAATTATTATTTAAAATATTAAATTAATATGAAATACTATTTAAAATATTAAATTAATTTTGTATGAGTATGAATTACTATTTAAAATATTAAATTAATTAATATTTTAGTTATCAAAACTAATATTAATCAAATTATTCCGTTGAATTTTTTATTTAAGTGTAAAATATATTATAATTCTTATTACTACCATTCTCCTCAAAATTTCTTTCATTTCTTTTTTTTTTCATTTAATTTTAGGAAAATTTTAAAAAAAAAAAATTTTAGAAAAAAAAATTTTTTTAATTTCATAAAATATTCTAATTAAACTTCAATTCGTTGGAATAATTGTAACAAACATAAAAATTTATTATATAAATTAAGTATGAATTACTATTTAAATTATTAAATTAATTAATATTGTAATTTTCAAAAACTAATTTTAATCAAATAATTTCGTTGAATTGTTTATTTAAATTTGTTTACATTAGTTTTTTTCTCTCTTTTTTTTATTTATTTTTATTTTTATTTGTTACTGACCTTGAAGCGAATGCATGTTTCTGCTTCGATATGATGTAATGCGGTACGAATTAAATTTTGCCATTTAACTGTAAATTAATCATTTCTGTTTTGTTAACATTTCATTTTATTATTTAATTTCTAATTTAAATTAAAATTTTTTTTGAACTTTTAATTTATGTTTTTCTTTCTTTTTTTTTTTATGCAAATAACATTGAAATGAATTAATTTCACAAAAATAAATTTTTTTTTTTTTAAAGTTTACCATCCAAACTGCTAAAATAATATGATATTGGCATATTCATCCAATTGTATTGCTCTCCTCGAATTGCTTGTCGACTATTTCCTCAAATTAATAATAATAATAATAATTAAAAATAATAATTAATAAATAATAATTAATAAATAATAATTAATAATAATAATTAAAAAATACAAATTTAAAATTTGTCTATTTTTTTATGATAAACAATAGTATTTAATTAGAAACACTAAATTCATAATAATTAAAGTTTTATTCTACATTGTTTTTTTTTTTTTTAAAGGAATTATATATTTTAATTTCGAAGATACAATTTTTTTTTTGCATAATATTTAATTTTAGTAAAAAAAATAGAATAAAATTTGTTTGCTAGTCGAATGGTAATTAGCTAACTAAATATTGAAATTTTTACGATTTATCAAATGTAATTGTATTTTTTCCATTAAATTATAAAAAACTAATTTGGAACAAATTTTTAGTTTTTATTTATTTATTAAAATATTTTTTCTAATTATTTTATATATTGTAAAAAATCACAAAAAGAAATAAATAAATAAATAGTATAATAGTTTTGCAAAGTAACAAAATAATTTAGCTTTTATAATGTTTCAAATTAATTTTATCAAAATTTTGCTCCTACCAAAATAAAATTTTAATCATTTACTAAAAAATTTGAATAAATTAAAAAAGATAAAATCTTACTTTTAAAATAATAACTTACTAAATTTTACTTCTAAAGTAATAACTTACTATTTTTGATATCTTCATTGAGTAAAGCTTTAATTTGTGGTAATGTTAATAAGATATCATTCTCGAATAAATCACCCACAACACCTTCCTTACGATTAATACTTGCTTCGGTACCATCATCAGCCGGAATATCTCTTAAGTCTTTGCTAACTTTTTTAGAATCCTTCAAAAATTTAAACTTAAAATTTTTTCATTTAAAATTGAAATATGCAAAATACAAAAATTTTTTTAGAATAAAAATTACAAACAAAATTAATTAATAATTTATATTACTTCGTTCTTTTTTTCTTTTTTCACCTTATTGGACGCAAGTTAATTAGCTACTTTTTTTCCGTGAGTTCATTTACGGATAATAACGTCAATACACTTACGTAATCATGATATGTACCATACTTCCGTGCGGTAATTTTATAATATTGATCTAATAACACGCGAACTTCTGCATAATCATTTGAAATTATATTATTATTTTGTGCGTTTACCTAAAATTAAACTTTTGTATTACTGTAATTTTATGATTAAATTATCTAAAAAGAAATATGGAAAAGTAATTATTTACTAAATTTAATTTATTTACGAGCAAAATTAATAAATGATAATTAATTAACAAACTATATTATCACATAATACTATTATTATGATAACAAAAAAAGTTTTTTACTAAAATACATTAATTGATATATAATTGATAATTTTTTTTCCTATCAATTTATCATTTTTAAATAATTCTAAACAATCACTTTGAATTAAAACCTTGTAAACATATTTATTTACTTATTTACTTGTTTATTTATTTATTCATTTATTTTTGCTTTCTTCAATCAAACCTTACAATTACATAACATAAATATGCAATCACTCGTAATAATACCATCATTTTGTCCTTCCAAAATGTGCTGCAAATTTTAATTGTAAAAAAAAAATTTTTAAATTTAAAATGATAACAAATAAATACAAAAATAATTTATCAATTATAATCATTTCAATAATTTCCTGCGATAGTGTAAACATTAAAAATAATTGATCATTATTTTATTAATATATTTCAATTAATCTATCATAATATTTCATATTTTTAAATTTTTAAAATATGAAAAATTTTCTTTTTCATCAATTATTTAATTTAAAAAAAAAGAAATTTATAAAAGCGATTTTTTATTTGCAATTAAAATATGTTAGTACCATTAAACATAATCAATTACTACTATCCTAAATAAAGTAATGAATTAATTACAGATTACTATTATCCTAAATAAAGTAATGAATTAATTACAGATTACTATTATCCTAAATAAAGTAATGAATTAATTACAGTATCACTACTATCCTAAATAAAGTAATGAATTAATTACAGATTACTATTATCCTAAATAAAGTAATGAATTACTTACAGATTACTAGTATCCTAAATAAAGTAATGAATTAATTACTACTATCCTAAATAAAGTAATAAATTAATTACTACTATCCTAAATAAAGTAATGAATTAATTACAATATCACTACTATCCTAAATAAAGTAATGAATTAATTACTATTATCCTAAATAAAGTAATGAATTAATTACAGATTACTAGTATCCTAAATAAAGTAATGAATTAATTACAGTATTACTACTATCCTAAATAAAGTAATGAATTAATTACTATTATCTTAAAGAAAGTAATGAATTAGTTACAGATTACTACTATCGTAAATAAAGTAATGAATTAATTACAGATATTAATTAATTAATTAATTACCTATACACAGTTACTTACGACAGTCACGGTAGTCACACTTATGCGCAATAAAAAAAAAAAAAAAAAGAAGAGTTTTTTTTTTTTTTGAAAATGCTTGTCAATTCTAATGTTTCGATTGATGATGATTTTAAATCCATTTTGTTGACCTTGACATTTGTTGGATGTCATTTCAGCTCGTCACATTATTATTCATTTTCAAAAGTACGATTAATTTCAAATTTCAACTACAATCTAATCTTAGATCAATCAATTCATATTTAGAAAAAATTCGTTTTTAAATTGAATTAAATCATCAATGCAAATATGATTAGTTGATTTGAATTAATTTTCACATCCATTTGTAATGGATTAAAATTAAATTCTTTTGTCAAAAAAAAAAAAAAATTACTCATGCATATCAGATGATAACATTTATCAAATTTACGAAAAATTTTTTAGATTAGTTATTTAACAAAAATATTTGTCTAATTTGGGTAAACAAAAATTTTAAAAGCAAAACAGAGAGAGAGAGAGAGAGAGAGAGAGAGGGAAGAAAAATTATCTTTAATCAGTATAAATCCAATAGCATATTTTGATAAAAATTAAATGAAAAATAAAAAAAAAAAACAAAACATTTAATATAATTTTAATACTTTTTTATTTTGGCAATATTGTTAATTAGAACAGAAAATATAGTACTGTTTGTCAATGTAAATAGGTCAATTAAATAAGAAAATTCGATTAGTTTATTTAATGTATTTAAATTAAGCATCGCAATTTGCTATTTATTATTTCATTTTCAAATTTTCAATTTGAAATTTTTTTTTTTTTTTTTTTGGTATTTCACTATTGATGAAAATTGCTTTTGACATTTTTTTGTACGATTGCAATTGCGTGTACGTGTATCTTCATTTTAAGTAAATGATAATTCTTTGTTAAAAAGTGAAGATAATTTTTAAACCAGTTAATGGAAATAACTAAGATAATTATTTGCTGTTAACACATTTTTTTTTCCTTTTTTTTTTTTTTTAAATTTCAGGTGAGCTATTTCAGTCCATTATCATAAGAGCAATAATTTAGGTCGTGGTACAAAATCGTACAATGACTTTAGTTTTTTGCTAAATTTACAGTTTAAAATACCATCTCCTGTTTAAAAACATTACTGAAATGAAATAAAAAAAGAATAAATTTTCCTTTTTTTTTTTAAAAAAAATAACTTCACAGGAAATCTTCTTTGAGAAAAAGTAAACTTTTGTAAACACTAATTTTTGTCCTCGATTTAGAACTTATTTTAGAAATTGATAAGATATCCGTAATCTAGGATTGCCTTTTAAGCTAACCACTTTCGTATTATTTTAAAAATTTCAAGAAGAATAAAAATTTACAAGTTTAGTAGAAAGATTATCAGATTTATTTCAACTTTACTACAACTTTTTTATAAACTTCCAAATAAATAAATTAATAATCTTAGTGCAAAAATTTCCTGATTTCTAACTTAAAACTGATCAATTTGCATATGGGACTGACCATGAGCTTTTTGTTTTTTAGTTCTAAGCATAGAAACATTTAGAGAGACAGTTTATTGTGATAATTGATAGTTACAATAAATAAGGCAACATAACATTCAAATCCACCATTAAATACCAATAAACAATCATAAAATTGCCCGGTGACACAATCCCTTGAAATATTACGCAAGAAACATTCAAGAAATGATAAATTAAAATCTATGACAAAGAAAAACGCATACGTTTATCCAAGCTATGGAAAAAAAAACGAACCTTTCAGAAAGGATAAAATGAAATTAAAATGTTGGTGGTAAATTACCTGTTGGAATAAACAAAATTAAGCGACAAAGGAATGAATAAGAAGTACGGACTTTCACATCAAAAAATACGCGAAAAAAAATTTTTTAATTGATATATATGATGAAAGAGTTACATTTCTTGTAATCACATTACCATCCCATCTTCACAGATCGGATAATCTCGAATATAGCTGAAATTATTAATTGTTAATTGCAGAAGATAAAAAAGCCTCTTTCTTCATAATCCATTAAAATTCAAAAACATCCAATTTCAATTACTATTAAAGATATCACAATTTCCCAACATTAAATAGCGAATGTAACTAATGCTAGGCATAACGTTTCTTTTTTTTTTTTTTTAACCAGTTTAAATGCAGAACATTTATTCTTACATTTTTATCTTATTTACTAGATCATTAATTGATCTCACAAATATTCTATAAATAAAATGATATCACTTAGGTAAGATCGATTTTCTTGCTTTGTACTAATAAAGGTATGCTATTTCATAAAGTCGATCGATTGCGGGAAAAGAAACTACGTTAGAACGGTTTCAGAACACAGCTTCCGGTATACTACAAACTAAAGTCTTAAAGGATACACACACACACACACACACACACACACACACACACACACACACACACACACACACACACTGTCCAATAAGGTAATTACATCTCGCAACTTCCTCTCTCTACCTTATGAAATTATTCTAATATGAGACTGACAAGCAACTAAAATTTAAGATGCATTAACTTAATACATCAATATAAATATTAATTGATCGTTAACAAATACCACCCCGAAAAAGTAAGAAATAAATAAAAAATGAACACTATTTAATAAATAGACCAAAATCTTACCAGAACCACAAACAACAAAGACGAAAAGACCAATTAACCATGGAGTCGTTGAATATTTATCTTCTTGCGGCTTCTAAAAATATTTTCTTTAATTCATACAACATACAGTGCAATTTTAAAAAAATCCATTAAATAATATGTCTTACTAATTTCACCTCACCACAATAACTAGATTATCAGTCATTACTAGCAAATCTCAATGTGAGAAGATTCTCAAACTGCTACCTGTACAAGTAAATATGAACAAAAAAAAAAAAAATTGTGATAAGCTCGACAGATACACAATTGTATGCAAAAATATTTATGGGTGAAAAAATAAAAAACAAAAATAGACAAAATTTTTTCTAAACTATGAAATAGTGAAAACAATCCAAGCCAATCAATCAAAAATCACAGACAATATTATAATGATACAACGTAAATACCTTACCAAAGTTTTCTGTACATTGCCTCGTGATAACACATTCCTGCTGAAAACTGAATTCGCCACACTCATTCGTTGTTTGGCAGGCATTTGTACTGACTAAAAATAGTACAAAATAAAATCAATCAATAATTAAACAGTATTTTAAAACGATACACTAACATAACGTAAAAAAACTTACTAAAAGATTTAAAATCCAAAAAATAATCTTTAATCTTACCTAAATAAACTTCGATGAATAGCAAAACAGTTAAAATCAATACCTAAAGATAAACAGAACAAAATTTAAATTACAAATGAAATTATCAACCTATAAAATACTACTAGCAACAATAGTTAAGTAATAATTATGCTATTAATATGCTAAACAATTCTAGATTTATCATTAGTTTAACTTTCCTACTCATTAATAAATCCACTAAATTATTTGAAAGAGCTAAATGAATTAAATGTAATGATTTCAGTCTAATAATGCATGATCTTAAAAACATAACATAAAATGAAATAAAATAATTTAATTCATATCACATATCAGCATTTATCTATTTCATTATCAATAACAACTTTGATATCACTCATGACACTGATAACTATATATATCACATCACTTCCAAAATAAAATAATTTAATTCATATCACTACTACTACTACTACATACTACTACTACTACTACTACTACTACTCAACTACATACTACTATATATCACACATCTCCTCCACGTCAACTATCTTTTAATCTTTTCGCATTATATCTGTATACTACTACTACTGATAAAATGAGAGAAACTAATAAAACTAAAAAAAAATGAACAGTAGTAAGATGAAATATCGATTAGATTTTATTTGAGATAAATTAAACAAACAATAAAATTACCGAATTCCTGATTAACATACCGTTCCGGAAAATGTCTATCAAAAAGTAGCAAAATGACATCTAAACCACTTTATATGACAACATGTGCAAACTACATTTTTTTTTAAATGACGGCATGAAATTTCAATCCCAGAACATAATTAAAATGGAAAAAAAAAACGTTACAAAAATAATTTAAATAAAATT